AATGAACCTTATTTCCGTCGTTGAAGGGAATGCCTGAAACTATTAGGCAAACGGTGTACGAAATTTAGAGTCACGCTGTTTGCCAGCAATACGTGAAAAGACTAGTTCACTGTTTGACGTCGACATAAACAGGGTGAGTGGAAATGTGTACATTGAAAAATAAGTATATTTTGATGAATGAACTAATGGCCCAAAATGTATATTAAGCGAGATATCCTCCCAATGTTGATAAAATATAAATAATTTTCCCGCATAACTTCTAAACTCTGAAAGTAACCAGATTGGAATTTTCGGCATTAATTTATGTTGGTAAAATGCATTCTTCTGAAGGGTGGGTCATAATTTTTTGAAGAGAACTTTTTTCCTCATATCTTTTTTGGTGAAGAAATAGATACATTTGATAGAGTGAATAAAATTACACAAAAAAGTACCCCTATCAAAATACACAGATTGTAACCATTTTCGAGATATTTGAGATTTTGTAGTCACACGATATCAGCAGATTAATTCATCGATAACAATATTTTAGGAGGCCATGATATATTTTGTTCATAAATTTGACGTTTATGACATGAACATTGTTACTTTTTATTTTCTTGTTTCGTTTTTTTTGCTTAGTAATATTATTACTGCGATTTCCAACAGGGATTTTGAGAAATTTCAGGTTATTCGTTATGCCGAGTTGTTTCCCACTCGACGAGTTTCAAATTCTAGAACAATTTTGACGATTGTGCAAAGATTTTGTGGATTTTATAACGAAGAATAGAGGTCCGGCTAAGAAGTTCGATGCCTTCTGAAATATTAGCACTGATGAATTTATGTGAATGTCACTATACAAAAACTCAAATTACTGGAAGACGGTTACACATTTTGAATTTTGATAAGAGTGCCGTTTTTATGTAACTTTCTTCGCTCTATCAAACGTTTCGCTTTTTTCGCCAAAAATAATACAAGAAAAAATGTTGTCTTTCAAAAATCATGACCCACCTTCTAACAGCACCCTTTATAACAGTATAAGAAATGTATAATTGTTTAAGAAAATAGTTATTTGTTTTACTAGGCAGAAAAGTAGTAGATTGACTGCCGCGTCTGATAGGCAGTCAATCTACATTTGCTGCCGTGTGAAACACAGACTTTTTTCTCCAAATGATATAAAACCAATTTTGAGTAATTTTTTTATTGAAAACTCCATCATTTTGTGTTCACCCAATGTCAGTGTCAATTTTGATTACTGATTTCATTAGAATTTCTTGGAACGTTGCATGGCAACAAACTTTTTCTGCCTAGGCAGTAAAAGTACACCTTTTCTGTCTGTTAAGCGGCAGGAAAAAGCCACTATCCCTACCGCTTGGAGAAAAATGTATTTTATCAACATACATTCATTCAGAAAAGTTCAATCTGGTGGCGTTTACCGTTTAGAAGTTATGCAGGAAAATTATTTCAATTTTATCGACTTCGTAAGGATATATCTACCTTTTTGCTTTTGGGTGTATGATAAATTGACATTCATCATACAGGGCGTGGAAATGAATTCTGAATTGAGACTCTATCACGAATCTGCGATTAGAGGTCTATAAAAATCACAAGTTTCCATCGTTCAAGTTTGAACCCCCTGATTGGGTATGAAAGTGTTGAAAAGGAATATTCTCAGATAAATTATGAACATACAAAAATGGATATATATTTATATAAACTAATACATTGAGAATTCGCATTCTCTATGTGATGAGAATATTTACTCTTTTTCAGTTAATTCAATAGAAAACAACTACTTTCCTGGCTATATGCCACGACGAACATTGAATTATATCTATTGAACACACACGATAAGAGTTTGAAAATAAAATATAAAAATTTCTGAAATTGAGAATTTGCATTCTCCTTCAGACAAAAATATGTATATACACACATCATTCTGAATATTCAACAGAAAACAACTACTTTCCTGGCTATTTGCCACGTCGAACATTGAATTATATCTGATGAACATTCAAAAGGGGAACATGAAAAATAAAGAATAAAATCCTCCGAAATTGAGAATTGACATTCTTCTTCAAATCGGATGAATAATTATGATGAATAATGATCTAGAAATATGACTTACCAATATATTCAGCATTGAAATGAAAATTGGAATGTATAGGAGAAGTATACTGGCATGAACTCTGATCTTGATGAGCTTGAAAACGTCCAAAAATAATCATTCATATCAGTGATATGGGAAATATTATCTCTCACACACAGGTTATATGACTTTATTGCAATGAACCCATTTCGGATCTGAGAATATTCCTTTTCAACACTTTCATACCCAATCAGGGGGTTCAAACTTGAACGATGGAAACTTGTGATTTTTATAGACCTCTAATCGCAGATTCGTGATAGAGTCTCAATTCAGAATTCATTTCCACGCCCTGTATGATGAATGTCAATTTATCATACACCCAAAAGCAAAAACGTCCAAATGACAGGAATAGAATGTCAACAAATTTCTCAGATGTCATTTCGTTATAGTTTTACTCGATTTTAGTTGTATTATATAGAGATGAAAATTGTGTATATCATGAAGAATGGCTGTAAGAATAAGTGGACATCATGGTTACTGATGAGGATTCAGAGATCCGAATTGGGTTCATTGCAATAAAGTCATATAACCTGTGTGTGAGAGATAATATTTCCCATATCACTGATATGAATGATTATTTTTGGACGTTTTCAAGCTCATCAAGATCAGAGTTCATGCCAGTATACTTCTCCTATACATTCCAATTTTCATTTCAATGCTGAATATATTGGTAAGTCATATTTCTAGATCATTATTCATCATAATTATTCATCCGATTTGAAGAAGAATGTCAATTCTCAATTTCGGAGGATTTTATTCTTTATTTTTCATGTTCCCCTTTTGAATGTTCATCAGATATAATTCAATGTTCGACGTGGCAAATAGCCAGGAAAGTAGTTGTTTTCTGTTGAATATTCAGAATGATGTGTGTATATACATATTTTTGTCTGAAGGAGAATGCAAATTCTCAATTTCAGAAATTTTTATATTTTATTTTCAAACTCTTATCGTGTGTGTTCAATAGATATAATTCAATGTTCGTCGTGGCATATAGCCAGGAAAGTAGTTGTTTTCTATTGAATTAACTGAAAAAGAGTAAATATTCTCATCACATAGAGAATGCGAATTCTCAATGTATTAGTTTATATAAATATATATCCATTTTTGTATGTTCATAATTTATCTGAGAATATTCCTTTTCAACACTTTCATACCCAATCAGGGGGTTCAAACTTGAACGATGGAAACTTGTGATTTTTATAGACCTCTAATCGCAGATTCGTGATAGAGTCTCAATTCAGAATTCATTTCCACGCCCTGTATGATGAATGTCAATTTATCATACACCCAAAAGCAAAAACGTCCAAATGACAGGAATAGAATGTCAACAAATTTCTCAGATGTCATTTCGTTATAGTTTTACTCGATTTTAGTTGTATTATATAGAGATGAAAATTGTGTATATCATGAAGAATGGCTGTAAGAATAAGTGGACATCATGGTTACTGATGAGGATTCAGAGATCCGAATTGGGTTCATTGCAATAAAGTCATATAACCTGTGTGTGAGAGATAATATTTCCCATATCACTGATATGAATGATTATTTTTGGACGTTTTCAAGCTCATCAAGATCAGAGTTCATGCCAGTATACTTCTCCTATACATTCCAATTTTCATTTCAATGCTGAATATATTGGTAAGTCATATTTCTAGATCATTATTCATCATAATTATTCATCCGATTTGAAGAAGAATGTCAATTCTCAATTTCGGAGGATTTTATTCTTTATTTTTCATGTTCCCCTTTTGAATGTTCATCAGATATAATTCAATGTTCGACGTGGCAAATAGCCAGGAAAGTAGTTGTTTTCTGTTGAATATTCAGAATGATGTGTGTATATACATATTTTTGTCTGAAGGAGAATGCAAATTCTCAATTTCAGAAATTTTTATATTTTATTTTCAAACTCTTATCGTGTGTGTTCAATAGATATAATTCAATGTTCGTCGTGGCATATAGCCAGGAAAGTAGTTGTTTTCTATTGAATTAACTGAAAAAGAGTAAATATTCTCATCACATAGAGAATGCGAATTCTCAATGTATTAGTTTATATAAATATATATCCATTTTTGTATGTTCATAATTTATCTGAGAATATTCCTTTTCAATATATCTACCTTCATATACATTTTGGGCAATTAGTTTATTCATCTAACTATACCTACTTTTCAATGTACTATCACCTCCAGAAAGCTAGGCACACAGTTTTGACTCACCTTATAGATTTTGAATTCTTTTGGTCAAACTATGTACTGGCGAAAAAAGATCGAATGGTAGTCTACCAGAAACTACTGGAAAAACAGTGACCTCCACCCATTGTACCCTGCCTCTAGACACTAGTTATCAACAATGAAGTTCCATGGTTCTGATTGGTCTGTACTAATCTATTCGAATAGCCTTCACATAAGTGTGAGCCAATCTGCAACTGTCAAGTGTCAAGTCCTATTTTATGGTTATGGTTATGGTTACTCATGATGGTAGTCACTGTTGATAATGAAAAACAGTGAATTCCCGTTTTTCCGTGTATTTGTAGAATTGAGGTGATTAAAACTATGATAACCATGTAAGGTGCGTCTTCTGAATTTGCGTGTATTTCACAAACGTTTTGGTAGAACTAGTAGAACGAATACCTACCTAGTTGAATTTGACAAGACGACGGTATGTCAGATTATTACGCCATCCTACTGCCATTATCACTCTCATTACTCGATTCATCACGATAATGTCTGTCATTAAATGTTGAAAATCGAGTTAGCAATGAATGAATGACTCCATAGTTGTAGATAAAATATACTATAGAAATAATGTATATAGCAAAACAACGTTTGCGACGACTGCTAGTAAACATAAATAGTCACTATGAGGTACTCACCAGCGTGACGATGTCTCCCTTGCACCTGCCTGCGATCTCCTTCATCCTCCCATATAAAAAGTCCACCAGGTGGCGATACCGCTCGTTGAAGTCGTCCAGCTCGCGAGCCACCACGTCTGCGCCCGAGGGCGTCGCGGCGCCTGATCTGAATGCGGCGTCGCCGTCGAGCGACGGCTGATCCGCCAGCAGCGCCTCGCGGAACTTCTGGCCCGCCTTCGTCCATATCTGGCGTTACGGTTAGAGGTTAGCGGGCGGGTTAGTCCGGTGGTAGGGGGCAGTGTTGCCAATGCGGTGGTTATTGTTCGTTTTGTTGAGAGATCCGGCGGTTTCCGGTAGTGCAACCGTATAGGCGACTGAGATTAAGATCGTAGCGCCAGAACGGCGAATGTCGGTACTACTCTATGGGCCATTGGCGGATTGTTCACATTGTTTGGTAATGGTGTTTATGTTCATTTCATTTTGAGTTTTCAAACGTCCAGCTTTGTTATTTGTCTATTTTCGAACTTTGTATTTTCCAGCGGTCTACTGTGTTTTGATTGAGGACTATATTATCTCTGTTCAACATTAGATAACCTCCCTACCTCTAGTTGAACTTCATATATACCAACATGCATAGGCTGTACGTTTTTATCATTATTGAACAAGAATTCTCATGAAAACCTGTGTGGAATGTTGATTTCCAATTCGAATATATAGCTGGGATATTCCCCTGATAGTACATGATATTTTTAAAACAAAATCCAGCAAACTTTTTGGGAATAAAGTGTTCTTTGGAAGGTGAATTTAGGTACCTAAACAGTTTCTACATGACATTTTACAACATAATCATCGAAACCCTGATTGATAACATTCTTTACTGTTCAAAAATTCTACTGTTCATGAGTAAAGATATAATCAGTTTGAAATTTGTTTGTTCTTTTACCACCACCTCAAGAAGTAGGTATTATATTCATAATAGAAATACATTTGAAAATATACCTATATAGGTATGAGTAAATTTTCAGTGAAGTGCAAAGAACAATATCTCATTATGTTCAGACACTTTACACTTTTTCCAATCTTCAAGTTATGAATCCACACCTTTCTCCTACCGATCACTTCCTTGTTTCCCAAATTATTAGTTTCAAATACAAATTTAGACTGTCCTGATTTTTGAAAGGAATGAAAGCTATATACTCGGGATTTTTTTGCTCAAGATGAACAATGAGGTACACAACAATGATGACTAATGTTTTTAAACGTTTATAGAAGTTCTCAAACAAAATTATAGACAATTAAAACACAACTACTTCTCATACAAAATACACGCAAACTAATGTAAACAAAGCAATCAATGGCCCATACGTTAGTTATATTAGACAACGGTAGAGGGAGTACTCCTTAGCATGAATCGCCTATTGTGTGTAATTACCACTGACATACACATTATCTAGACCACCAGTGGTCACATCTCAACAAATAACTGTACCAAATGTTGTATTTCGTGCGAAATCATTTATTAAAATGTTTCGTAGCAGTGCGCCTTCGACTATGCAGTCATCATCAGTGTTTACTCGTCAGGTTGACAAGAAAATTATCCATAAAAATATCTTTCGTCCTGCTCATTGTTATAAATATTATGGCTGAATACGGCACAAACAGTTTAAAATTTGTTTCCCAAAATGGAATAATATGCAGATTATATTATCTGAGCAGCTGCCATTGCTGCATACTTAGATTTCAGGTTTGCTCTGCTGAAATATAGATATGCAACCAATCTGTAACTGCATTTCATAATATGTGAAAAAGTAGGAGGGATTCGTGAATACGGATTGTGTTCATATTTCACGAATTACAAAAATGGGTGAGTTATATATCATAGCTAGAAGAGGAACATAGAGTAGAATAAGTCAGGAAACTTCCAAAAACTCGTATAGGTGTATATTTACCTATTACTTTTCAGAGATCACGGGATTATGCAGAAATCATATAGCTAAGCAAGGTATGACTGTATTTATGAAGCAGAATAACTAGAATGATACATAGAAAGATAGTAGTTAATCTGTCTCAAAATATCACTGTGTAACTGGATCATACATAGTGATTCAGGAGTACGGTAAGATCAATTCATATTCAGGAATAGATCACCTTCTCTGTCTTTAATGAACATCATTTAGATGATTGTCTTGATGATTCCAGACAAAATAGACATAAACTAGAAATAATTAGAATGTTAATATACAATATTTTTTAGATGTATTGAGTAACATTGAATATACGTTATAAAGTTACATTGATTTTATGTGATTTCTGAAATATTTGTATAATATTTACCATCAACATAACATTGTAATATTTAGAAGAGGCACAAAGGCCAATTCCCGCAACGTATCTGTGACATTGAGCATCTCTCTGAATAACATCACAAAGTAACAATGTAATATAACATTTATGTTCAAGTATGTGTTTTCATGTTTAGTGAGTAAGAGCTACTGCGAAAATATCCAAGAAACAGACATGGGAAACAATACATTAAGAAACCAAGTCATAAACAAACTGTAGCCCTGCTCAACTTGAACATAGTACAGATAAAAACTGTCACGGGACTCATGACTGGCCATGCGCCAGTAAAGAAGCACCTAACCAGAATGGGACTGTTCAATGGCGACCCAAGCTACAGACTATGCGGAAAGAAACCAGCAACAGTATCACATTACGGTGCAGATGCGAGGCATTGGACCGCAAGACAGTAGATTTTCGGGCAACCAGTAGGCGAACCAGAAGTATTCAACTCACATCCAGTGAAGGATTGGTACAGACTTGTTCAAGGTTATGAGATAATGGAGTGGGTACAATGGAAAAACTTCTAGGTAAGATACAATGGACCACTAGGCCTGTGGGTCGTAGAAGACATCGGTCAGATGAGCCTACAAGCGGGGTGGAGTGTTTAGTGGGTATACCCTCCATCCAACTGGAAAAATTGCAAGAGTACAACCAGTTCCTAAAAAAGGCAAGAAAGACCATACCTAGCAACTACAGACCGATCGCACTGCTATTTATTATTTCAAAGATCATGGAGAAAGCTATCAACATCGAGCTCATGAAATACCTGGAACATTCAGGTATTATCAACGATAGGCAATATGATAAACCAAGAATCTCAAGACTAAGAGAATTCTAGGGAAATTTTGTGAATCGATTGTCAGCTGATGCAAGACAGACTGTTTCGACATGCCATAAGTCTCATCAGTTGCACTGGCCAGCTGACAATCGATTCACGAAGGGTACCTCCATATATCAAACAAGTCGAAGCCCTGAGGGGGCAGAAGGACGATATTGCCTTCATAGCCATCTAGTCACGACTAAGTCGTGCATATAAACCACTTTGAGAATTACAGGTGTTGCGATAGTCTACAGAATCTGACATGGATGTCTTTTCTGTAAGCATATAGACGTAGGGGTCTATATGCACGACTTAGTCGCAAGGTATGATTGATGAATCTACCTATACACCTTGCACTTAAGCCACTAGATGGCTATGAAGGCTAGATCGTCCTTCTGCCCCCTCAGGGCTTCGACTTGTTTGATAGGCAATATGGCTTCCGTCATCAGAGATCAACTGGTGACCTGCTCGTTTACGTCTCACATATATGGCAGCAATCTATTGAAAAATATGGTGAAACCTTAGCCGTGGCACTTGATATCTCCAAGGCATTCGATCGAGTCTGGCACCACGGACTCCTCGCCAAGCTTCCATCTTATGGCTTGCCTCCCCAGCTATGTTCTTTGCTAGCTAGTTTTCTCTCAAACAGGTCTCTCCATGTAGTGGTCGACGGAGTTTCATCTGACTCTCTCATCATAATTTCTGGTGTTCCGCAAATATCAATTCTAGCACCAACACTATTTCTCCTCCATATCAACGATTTGTTGGAAGCAACTGCATGTCCAGTACACAGCTTCGCGGATGATAGTACCTTCCATACCGCCATCTCTTCCAGGGCTCCCATACCAGCCAGGCAAATCAGAAACGAACGAGGAAGAAAGAAAAAAAATTCTCCCGTCGAGTTGAGGCTTCGCACCCCTTCGCGGTCACTTTGAAGACCTGCAGAACAACTCTTTCCAAAGACCCGTTCATCCAACGAACAGCGAGGCTCTGGAACACATTGCCAAGGCATATAACCTCCAGAAATTTAAGAAGTACACAAATTCCTACCTTATTTCCCTTGGTCTCACGATGTTCTCTGTACATTACAAGATATCCCTTTTCGTGGGAACAGAACGCTGGCTAGATTCAGGGGACTCCCACACTATCATATGTGGATTAGACCAATATGATGTCCATAAAGGATTTCAACCACTTCGACAAAAAATGAATATACACTTCTCATTTTCAGTTTCAGTTTTGAAATAAAGGTCTCAAATCAGAGTATTTGGAATCTATATGATACCCATTTAATTCGTTCCTCACTACTTTATGGATGGTTTCTCAACCGTCCATAGTAGACCCCTCCCTATCTTTTTCCTTCGATACGCGTATGTTCCTCACATTCATGAGTGTAACATGACAGATTCTGAATGCACATGAGTCAGTTTCACCAGTTCGATCTCCTGAGCTGCTTACCTTTTTCTCATGGAATTAGCGGTCTAGATAAGTGTTTGAGTCAGTGGTGTCGTCTAGGGTTTTCATTTATTATTGATGTAATAAAATGGGTGTTCGCTATTCTAATAATCAAACATGTGTGTCGTGTTTGCCTTCATTATGAGTTGAAGCAGTATTTGTGTCTTATTTGTGTATTAGAAAGTAAGCCTAATACATAACAGAAAGTAAACAAGTTGTATTGAATTTCTGTTTTTCTCATGAATTCCATGAAACTGGTGATCTTTTTAGGAATCTGGGGGATTTTCGAATAACTAGTCTAGTGATTTAGAATTTTCACCATTGGCAACACTGCTTCGGGGTGTAGGGTGCGTCTGTGAGTCGAAATTAAACGGGCAAGCGGATGGTGATCTATCAGGGTGTGTTTGAGAGGGTGAGTGTGGGTGTGTGAAAGACCGACGTAATCAATAGATTTGTAAATTCGAGAAAAGACCAGAGGAAATGCAGTTTCAGTCAGTAAGATATTCATATCCAATCAAAGAGTTCGATCAAAATACAATATATTCATTGATAATGCAACTATTAACGATGTTTTCAGTGGTGAGGCATTTCGTGCTGGGAGGTTGGTCATGTGTCTTTATAAAACATAATGTCATTTCCGTTAGCTCAAACTTTCAAGATTAACGAACAACTCATTTCAACTCTCGTTTTTCAAAATAATAACAAATAACTATTTAAATCGAAGCCCTGAGGGGGCTATATATGCACTATATGCACTTGCCATAAGGAGGTACCCTTCGTGAATCGATTGTCAGCTGGCCAGCGCAACTGATGAGACTTATGGCAAGTCGAAACAGTCTGTCTTGCATTAGCTGACAATCGATTCACGAAATTTTCCTAGAATCTCTTAGTCTTGAGATTCGAGGTGTATCACCATCTGTTAGTGGAACATTAAACCACTTTGAGAATCACAGGTGTTGCGATAGTCTACAGAATTCTGACATGGTGTCTTTTCTGTAAGCATATAGACGTAGGGGTCTATATGCACGACTTACTCGCAAGGTATGATTGTTGAATCTACCTTTACACCTTTGCACTTAAGCCAATAGATGGCTATGAAGGCTAGATCGTCCTTCTGTCCCCTCAGGACTTCGATTTGTATAATATATGGAGGTACCCTTCGTGATCGATTCACGAAATTTCCCTAGAATCTCTTAGTCTTGAGATTCTAGGTTTATCAAATAACTATGTGTGTATATTTTGTCTCATGTGTTTAGTTTTTCCATTAAGATGGTTTCGTGAGGGTTTCCGATTTCTCTTGGATGTCGACTTACAAAATGGATTTCTTTCATGAGATGAATTATCAAATTCGAGAGTTGGTATCCAGGGTCCAGGAGGAGCTGGAAAACTTAATTTGGAACTTCCTCTTATGTATTTCCATTACCCATTTTTTAATGAAATGGTGATAATCATGTATAAAAATCTCACCAACCAAAACTAACAGCATTTCCTCGAGTCAAATGAATAATTAAATACACTTATCATGAACACAGGAAAGCAGTGCTATTAAAAAATATGCTTTCCAAATTCATAACAAATGAACATATGTTGAGTGTATAATACAAAATAATTCAAAAGCAAATAGAGTCGCTGTCCTTCTTCAAATCAACGATTAGAAAATTGAAAACTATGTTCATCAACTTGTAGACGTTCACAACAAAATTACCTTATATTTTCAAGTATTAAACTAAATTAAGTAAAAAAGATATCATTTCTACAGGGTGTTTTCAATGATGGGGCATATTTTTCAACATTTAAAGAAAATGCGAAATAACCAAGATATTAAATACTCTTAAATTCGAGGAAATGTAGATACGGGTCCTAGGCTCATAACAATGGATGTGTGGTTGCTTTTTATAGACATACCAGAACTGTAGTGGTAACATTGAAACTGATAAGTTTTCGGTTGTTTATTTCGCAAATTTTATATAGGCCCCACCTTTGAGAACATCCTTAAAAAGAATTGATGAACATAACTATTTCAGAAATAATCTATGTAGACATGAGAATCAGAAATAAAATCAAATGTCAACATCGATTCAGTTTTAAAAGATGTTATTACTTTTTCTCAGTACAGCCTATATCAATTTCTCGGAATTACTTCCACTAAAAGACATAAACATATTTGAAAATTGATATTTTTCCACTCTTATCGAAACATGGTGAAGAACAGAAGAATAGTTGAAGACCAGATTGAAAAACCGACCAGAGATAAGAAGAAAAGTTGCTGTTATCAAGCAGAACATAGTTACCCACCACAAATATCGTAAATGGGGAGGGTTATAAATAAACAAACTACTAACCACCACCCATGGAATAAAATAGGACAATATAATTATTAGTATCACAGTACGTTTTACTTTTGACGTCGTATATTTCTGAAAACTGAATTAGGCAATAATCGAGGAAAAACAACCGATTCTGATGCAGCTTCGTACAACAATATATACAGGGTGTACTCGAATGAAGCAGCACAAGTGAAACTAGTGGATATATAAAGAAAAATATTAGACGATTGAACCAAAGATACTGGCACATTGAGAATAAATTGGATTCTGGGTATAAGAAATGATAATTTGGTACCTACTTTTTGAATGCGCGTTGAACTTGTTTGTTCCTCAAGTTAGCGCTATTTTTATTGAAAAATAAAGAAGATACCTTATTTCAACAACAACAAAATTATACTTGTCATTAATCCCAGAACTTGGAGAAGAAATAGATTATTTTTCCTTGAGAATTTCAATTGATATTTCCTATTCAGCTCAGATAATATTAGTAGTTATCACAACATTGCTTATAGAAATGGATAAGTACCATCGTCGTGATGACGGTACCATACTTACTTTTTCTAAGAAATAAATGAAAGAGTTGACAGAAATAGAGATAGATCGAAGAAATTATTTACAAAAGTGGTCCATTCGTTCTCATCACTCATACAGATATAACCTAAATAACACCGGATCGATGTGAACAATGAGGGCTATTCCGATATTTACCTTCCCCTCTCTTATGAATCTACCTCCGTTGATGTTGACTTGCTCGATTTTGGGGGTGCGTTCCACGACGCTGTTCAGCAAGTTCTGAAAGAGAAATAAAAAAAAATCAACCGCATTTTCAAAATTTGAAGGTTCTAGATTGGATTCGTTCACAATAGTCCAATAAATAAAGGGGAAAAGTTAACATTAATTACGCACTATTTTCATCTTCCAGTTGGAAGTAGCTTTTGGTACCTCATTGAACATGAGACAAAGTTTGACTGGAAAACGCGTGCGATGGCGGAGAAAATGGCCCCAAAAGACCAGAAAAATAGGTTTTCAGCCAATATCTCCTAAAATATGGCAGTTAGAGATTTTCGGTTCAGATAAAAATTGAAGTTCAGTTAATTTTCTACAAAAATGGTACTCATCATTTTTCTCGAAAATTTGCCCGGTTTCGAGAAAAACGGCACGAAGCGCACCTCGAATAATGAGCTTCTGTGTTGTATGCCGGAGAGCACAGTCCGTGTATTTACACATCGGCGGGGGGACAAATTATTCAATAACTTTGTTAAAAATGCATATTTTCTCATGATTCAAAGTTCATGTGAAAGAGGAATTCTGCTGCATGGTTTGTAGCAGACGACTGAGTTTCTGACGTATTCGTTGTATCCAACACATTATTTTGTAATAAAACTTGTTTTCTACCATTTTTTCGTAATCAATGCGGAAGTGAATATATTCCTACTTCCTACTGCAACGATCAAACTTCTCTACCTAATATTGATAAATAATAATGTGTCCCATAAATAAAATAATCTTAAATTTGTATTTATATTTCAGAATGAAAGCTGGTGCTTCAAAATAATTTTCAACTAATCAGGACTGGAGTTCACAAAAAACAATTTTTCTTATGAATAACTTCTATTAGTTGAGTAGACTCCTACAATCAGATTCCATCTAAATGAAGCAATTTGAGTAATAAAACTTCCATAATGTTGCTTCTACATTGGTCGAGGTTTTTAGGTTGGCAACTTGGAGCGAAGTCCCCCATTGACATTCAATCACAAGGCGTCAATGATCATGAAATGACTATTGTTACACTCGCACACGATTAACGAAACTCGCCTTCGGCTCGTATCGTAAGTTACCTAGTGCTCGTGTAAGAATAGCCATCCCTACATCATCGTTGAAGTTGTTAACTCAATGCTATATTGGTTTGATTAATGATGCTATTCCAATTTGAGTAGGAACTGTGGAGACGTCGGTGAAATCGTTGCAAGATAACCTTGTCAGATATCAATCGTTACAAATACCTTTCTCTTTTGTCAATATCTGTGGTTGACTGGTTGATTACTGTTTGGAAATTAATAGAAGACAATTCAACCTGAAACAGTGTCACTGACATGGAAACAAATGAGCTATTGACAGTATCCTATACCGTAGCGCCATTGACGGGCTGGCATGTTTTGGGTCAATTTACAGACAATATTATGCCTCTCGCCTACTAACTAGCAAACTAGCTTTTTCATTCAGATCGACAATGAACTAACCCTTGTCGCGTCCAGATGCTCTTTGGCTCTCTCCTTGATAGGCTGCAGGTTTTCCAGCTTCCCATACTGCTCGTCCAACCAAGAATCCTCGATCTCCTTAGCATGTCCGTAGTTCTTCAACAAGTCGTACGCCTGTTTGCAACCCCTCAGCCTATCGGCCAGCTGGGCGCAGACGTTGCTCCACCTGCAAAGGAATGAAACATGGTATGAAAGTCATCACCTTCTGTTGCGAGACCTAATGAGTCATCTGTTGACTGTTTCTGGTCGACGAGTATCATCAGTCACACCGTGCCAATTGATAATGATGACATATATGTTGTGTTTTCGTTGGAATTATTGTTCAAGTTATCTAGTATTAAGCTCATACAGTATCATCGGTGAAAATATCAATCTCCAAGGTGGGATGAGACAGGGCCTACTATATCTCACCGGGCCGTAGTCTATCCCCTCTCTCTCGACGCTGACGTCACACTAGTAGGTTGAGATTTCACATCAGTCCGTACTGATGGGTTGGTAATTGAAAGGCTATAGCTCATTTACTATACTCAATCGAGACGAAATGATCCCCAACAAATTCCTCAACTTTTGGTGAAAAAATGAATCCAATAGGATGAATCAATACTGAGTTATGGCGTTGTAACGAAATTCCATTTTATTGAAAATCAGGACGTTGTACTAACTACAATGAGTCCGAAAGAAATTAAATATAAAGAGCGCGTAAAAAATGGGCCGTTATACCTACCTACCCAAATTTCGCTGTATTACGATTTCGCGGTAATTCCTTGGACTGGTAAAGGGCGATATACTTTTTAAAAGTCATGGAAACCATCCATTCTCAAAGTGGTCCAGTATTTTTCAAAATGAGTAATAAAAAGTATATCAAAAGGAGAAAAAACAATAACTCTAAGTCGGTCGACCACAAAATTTAATAAAAACCCCTCAATGTGTAACTAGTTTCGGCCACACGGCCATCTTCAGACAAAAAAAAAAAAAAAAAAAAAGAAGATGGCCGTGTGGCCGAAACTAGTTACACATTGAGGGGTTTTCATAAAATTTTGTGGTCGACCGACTTAGAGTTATTGTTTTTTCTCCTTTTGATATACTTTTTATAACTCATTTTATTTCTAAATGGCGTATGGTTCAGACCAACTAATATTGGTGTCTGAAAAATTCAAAACAATATTTCTACAATGTAAGTCACAACATGAAGTTTTGGAGAATTTAGCAGAAATTAAAATCAATTCCCTTCTCAATTATTCCGAGAATCAATATGTTGCAGTTGTGGGTCTTTTGATTTAATCAGCAGAACATTCTCTAAAACCATTTCAAATATTCTGTTGAACAATTATTGCAAAATAAAAAAAAATTAAAAAAGAAAAATCACTAAACTCTCGAGATGAGATATAGTTCAGATTTCAATATTTAGTTTGTGATTAATATGATGTATATATATTTTTTGTTATTAGTGTATTTCATTTTGTGATATCTATCAATTTTTTTCATTCTGTTATGTTGGTCATTTATACAGTTTTTTTTGTTTGGTTTTGTTTGTGTATAAGTATTCAACGTTTTTTTTATTATTTTTTGCTTATTCATTCATATATCGTTGTTCTGGGTATTTTGTTATTTAAGTCGTTATATTCATTTTTATATCTCTCATTGTTGAGATACATATTTTTTCAATTATTTTTGTTAGGTTGTGTTCATATGAACTCCACATATTTTGTTCTTTTTAATTTTGATACTTTGCAAATATATTCAAATCAAATTTTTTTCATGAATTTAACGTTATCATTCAAATATATACTCTTCAGCAGAAAATAATTGATACCGAATTGGCGTTTTTGTGTAATAACACACTCGAGTGATAGGATTTCTAACGTCATCAAAGTGCGTCCTGATCATATTCAGAGATAAACGCTGCTAAAACCCTTCGAGATAAAGTGGATGTGTATTATACCGATTTGTTGGCAATAAAATTTTCTACAAAAAAGTCAGTGACAGCATATATCCATTGTTGATAGGATTAGCATGGGAGGCGTCCGAACTTTTTGAACTATTCTGTAATAAACACCTGAATCATCGTTCTACTTGAATTGAAATACCGGTTTGTTGTTGGCCCTTGGGAATTTCAAGAAAAAACTCAGTCAATCTAGATACTATGCGAAATCTTTTCATGGTTGAATCATTTCTGTAAATTGAATATTGGAATTTTGGTAGCTGTTTTAAAAAGGACAATTCTGAATGGCGTCAATTGATTTTGATATGCCATATTTCTGAAATTAATGATCGTAAATTAGTGAAATTTGATTCATCTTCTGGAAAATTCTTTTCTGTACATATTTGACCTCTTGATATTTTTCGCTAACTGTGACCGTTTTCAGGAGGTAAATCAATGAAACGGGAGAGACAATTTCCATTGCCTTGATTTTGTCCCTACTAGTGTGACGTCACGAAAGCGGTGCTCCGGCCCGGTGAGATAGAGTAGGCCCTGGATGAGACGTCTTTATTCCTTGTCGATTGCCAAGGAGCCATCACTCTGTGACATCAATTGCTGCGATTATTGAATGTTCCAAAACAATTAACTCTTCGTTCTCGCAGTTTTGGGTGACTGCATGCCAGGACTTTGTACGATCTATGTGAATTGTTTTGTTTGTCTCATATTCGCGTGGTGGTTTTACTAATATAAGTTTCAGTTGGTTTCATTTTTTTCTCTCCTTTTTTTTTCAGCAAGTCTGCCACCCCTAGAGAACCTTGAGAATAGTACATTAAAGAAGAGAAATTGTCAAGGAATGTTTGTAGGAAACAATTCATAAATGTGAACAATGCGAAAATGGACAAGCAGTTCCCTAAGGACCCCGCGAATCCGGACGATAAAGTGCCACTTTACGCCCGGTCGTACATGAAAGATATTTAGTGATACATGAAGATTGACAACCCATTTGATTGGTCATATTCAAAACTGAATCCAAACTCCAAGGAGAAGCCTTTTGAATGAAGTCAAAAGGAGGATTCAAGAAAACCCCTCCTCAACAAATTAAGATTTTCATCATTATAGGATTCATGACCTGCCTTACACCGTCCCAATCTCGTATAGACATGACTGGTTCCTCCAAAACTAGGAACTACTAAGAAGAGACCTGTTTGTTCACAGATGGTTCAAAAACGCCCATAGGCTCTGGCGCGGGTGTATATGGTCACAAACCTAGGACAGAGATATCAATCTATCTTGGGTCCTATGCAACCGTATTTCAGGTGGAAATTTACGTCATTGATGTGTGTGTGGAGAGATTGGAAGAAAACCAACCTCACACATGAAACAATAAAAATATTATCGCCAAGCGACTCTGGAAGCACTTAGCTTCAACTAAGCAATGTCTAGACTGGTATTAAACTGTCAAAAAAGACTCCCCGCGATTGGAAAACTCAACAATTGTTTCTGGTCTGGATTCCTGGCCACTCTGGTATGGAAGGTACCGAAACGGCAGATTCATTAATTCATTAATTCGCTCATGCCATCACATTGTGCTGTTGTACAATGCACGAAAACTGCAGCGGAAGACGAAGGAATCCGGTAGGTACATTATGATTTGAAAGTGAGTACCTACTATTGTCACTCACATATAGTTTTCATTTTTGAAATTTGGTAATTCCTCTGACTTCTCATCGGGATTTATTCTGCAATAGGAGCTAATAGTTAATACTCGTGAAATTAAAATAATGCAAGAAGATTGGATTCATGCAATCAAACAGGAGGACTGGTCTGACATGCTGACGAAATAAGATCATGTGTGTTGTAGACATTTTCAATCTATTAGCAGTATTAGCTTGTATTGCAGAAGTGGCAGAAGGAATTTCAATAAGGAATGACAACATTTCATAATGAAAAATATGTGAGATTACTATTTACCTGAAAAATCATATTCCTTCGTCTCTCGCTGCATTTTTTGTGCATTGTACAACAGCACAATGCGAAGGCATGCTTGAATTAATGAATAGCGCAAAAAACACGATTCGTATGCCAAAATATTATGAAAAACTATTTCAATCCTTTGATTCCTCTGTAAACAAATAAAAAAAGTGAGGTTGTGTTTCAATAATTCACAGAAGAGTGAGGTTGTGTTTCAATATTTTGCTCCCAGGGTCGGTCATCTGACAGTTCTTGCACGCAACCCATATTAGAGTACGGACACTGGACAAGCAGTGACAATCAAACATAACCACAAGCGATTTTGAAGCAAGTCATATGTTTTGCCAGACAAGGACAAGAATACGTATTTCGCTTATACAAAAAACGTCAAAACAGCAGTGTCAAGTACATTTAGGAACTCTACCTGGATCTACTTGGTGAATTATGAATTTGTGTGAGCCACATTAGACTCTTACGGGTCGAAGTATCGGGTGGTCACAAAAAAACCGGAAGTTTTCATTTTCCTCGTGGTTTCATCATTTCTCAACCGAATTCGAATTTCTTGGCGTCGTTTTATAGCTAAAGGGCTATAGTATACAGTGGAATATTTGAAAATTCCATAATGAATAAGAACAAAATGGCGGATTCTACCAAAGTATTGTCATTTATAAAAACCGCTGGAGAAAAAGAAAATCAGATTTTTTCCCAACCTGTACCGATGTCATCTTAGGCTATTCATTTCTGAAGAGAATGAGTATTCGAACAATGAAATCGAACGAATGGTCCAGTAGATACACTCATTTCTTTGCAATTTGTTATGAAGTGAATGTGCTAATCTCGAATAAACGATTATTATCATTTTGCTTCAGGCTTCATGAAAGTTTAACCCATTAGTGCATGAAGTTACTTTTTTTCAAATCTCTATATTCTGAAGATGTTTCCTCATTCAAATATACCCAAAGAATGATAACTCATGACGAATAATTTTTTTTTACAACAGATTTTTTTATATGACACGTCCATTTTAATGGACTCTATGCAAATTGGTTCATTGATGAAAGTGATCAGTAGGGAATTTCAGTATTCATTTTTATTCAAGTACATATCCAGAACATGAAAAACTCAATAACATCAATCACAATATTATCAATAATAATAATAATGATAATAATAATGAAGATTATACATCATGATGACTTGATACATTTTGAAGCATCTCTCAGATGCAGTCCTATTTTACATATAAAATTGCAATTTTGTATACTCTACTGAATGGAATTCAGCTGATGGGTGTATGGAAATGCATCATATCAAGAAATTATTTGGGATGATAGTTCCAGACCTATTTTCGGTGCTCCTCACACGATCCAGTGGAAGGAAATGTGAACCCGTTGAAGAAAAAGAGGAGTCGATTGAGAGGATGGAGTCGTGTCTATAGTTGATGTGCTGCAGTATAACGTACAATCATTTGATGCTATAATATTCCTTTTCATAATGCAAAGATGTATATTATTTTCAATTTCATCAAAATCAGGATCAGAACAACGAAAGTCGCACGGCTGTTTGATAATTCCTTTAGAAATATGATTTATTATGGATTCGCAGTTTCTAAATTCGAATAACTGCATTTCTGCCAACTTTTCTTCTGGAGGCAATATAATATATGATTATCTGTTGGTTGATCGATATCTGAGCCATTTTTCATATGTCTAAGAGGTGTTGCAAGAATGATCTACAAAAAAATCTTGATGACCGATATGCATAGAGTCCATTATAATGGACACAACACAAAAGCAATATTTTGAGTGTCTTACAAAAAAAATAATTATTCGAATCACCTTATAGGTTCAAAAACACATGCATATAATGAGATCTTGAGGGATAGGAAATTCTGAAATTCATTATACTCCGTTATAATAAATACTTACCCTCCTTGTCGGGTGCAATACAAATTGTTATCCATTTGATCACGTGCAGAATATTGTCGAGATACAAATTCATGAAATAGAAGCGATAGTTGTTTGTTGTTGAACTACACTTATAGTTCTGGCGCATGAAACATTCAATTCCTGCATGATTGACAAAAAATTAGACAAGGAGCGTCCATTATAAGACACATTATGCACTAATGGGTTAATCGAATTTGGATTCCTTAGAGTTATTTCAAAGATAAAGAACTGTAGTACATAATTGAACATTTGAAAATCCAATAATTGAAAAAAACAAAATGGTGGAGAATCCAGAATTGTTGTGATTTTCAATAATCTCTGGCGAATAAAAAAATGTTTATTCTTCCAATCAGGACCGATACAATTTTAGATCATTGATTTCATACAAGATTGAGCACTCGAACATCTGAATCGAACAATTAGTCCAGGAGAAACACGTTCTTTTTGGCAAAGTGTTATGGAGTGAATGTGCCAATCCCGTGATGAGAATTACTTTTAGATTGCTCCTGGCTTTATCAGAATTAAATCGGATTTGGATTAATTAGTACACATCAGTGGAACATCTGAAAATTCCATAATTGCAAAAAAAATTAGTATCCCTGATTTGGGTGATTTTCAAAAACCGCTAGCGAATAGAAAAATGTCAAGTTTTCAATTAACAGAGTTCCTTATCTAATCGAACAAACAATGTGGCCTCCAAATAACCCGGACTTGAACTCTGTAGATTTCGATGTCTGGGGTACCTTACAGGAACGGGTATTTCGAGAACTTGGAAAATTTGAAGCAAATAATCGATTATTGCGTGGAAAATGCAATGCTTCAGTTAGAAATATAGTCCGGTCGATACAGAGCTGGCTCAGTTCCGTAGTTGAAGCAAAAGGCAGACACATTCAGGTCATTTCAAAATTCGTTATGTTTTGACTACAACTAGTATAAAGTTTTATATATTTTCAGGGTTTCACGCAATCTTCATGGACTTACATCTCGATGTCAATATCAACATTTTTCTATTCTCTAGCGGTTTTTGTAGATCACGAAAGTTAGGGTTACTCCACCATTTCGTTTTTTTTTTTTCAATTATGAAATTTTCAGATGTTCCACTGTGTACTACATCAGCTATTCAGCTTTGAAATGGCATTAAGAAATCCAAATTCGATTGAATTCTGATAAAGCCAGAAGCCAACTGAAAGTAATTCTTATCACGGGATTGGCACATTCACTCCATAACACTTTGCCAAAAAGAACGTGTTTCTCCTGGACTAATTGTTCGATTCAGATGTTCGAGTGCTCATTCTTTTCAGAAATCAATGATCTAAAATTGTATCGGTCTTGATTGGAAGAATACACATTTTTTTATTCGCCAGAGATTTTTGAAAATCACAAAAATTCTGGATACTTCACCATTTTGTTTCTTTCAATTATTGGCTTTCCAAATGTTCCATTGTGTACTACAGATCTTTATCTTTGAAATAACTCTAAGAAATCCAAATTCAATTGAATTTTCATGGAGCCCGAAGCAAAATAATAATAATCGTTTATTCGAGATTAGCACATTCATCCAGACATTCATTCCTTAACAAATTGCAAAGAAATGAGTGTATCTACTGGACTATTTGTTCGATTTCGATGTTCGAGTACGCATTCTCTACAGAAATGAATAGCCTGAGATGACATCGGTACGGGTTGGAAAAAATCTGGTTTTATTTTTCTCCAGCGGTTTTTGTAAATGACAATACTTTGGTAGAATCCGCCATTTTGTTTTTGTTCATTATGAAATTTTCAAATATTCCATTGTATACTATAGCCTTCTAGCTATGAAACGACGCCAAGCAATTCAAATTCGGTTGAGAAATGATGAAACCACGAGGAAAATAAAAACTTCCGTTTTTTTGTGACCACCCGATAGAGTGCAGATTGGAACCACTCATTTGTAAGCTAACCTAACATATCATTATAGGCCAAAAATAGTCACCTGGCGTTGAGCTTCTGCACCTCCTTGTCCAACCGCTCCACGTCAGAATGCTGCCCCCGCTGACCCGTCCTTGACCTCTCAGTCAACCTCCTCGCATTGTCGAAATCGTCATTGAGCTGGTCCATGGCGATCTGCTGCTGCCCCACTGCCGACTCCAGCTTCAGCAGATCATCGTGCACCGCCTCCAGGCCTTCGGCGGTGGCGGGCAGGTCGTCGAACAGCGCCATCTTGTTCTCGAACTCGGCGAGCACTTGAGAGGCGTCTTCCATGCCCGTGAGGACGATCTCGATGCATTTGAGACGCTCCACGTAGATGTCGCTGGTGTTGAGGATGTGCTTCCACTTGTCGAGGACCTGGGAAGAAAGAAGATAGAGATAGAGCGGTGTCATCAGATGTCACAACATGGCACGCTCGTAGTTTTCATCCGCTGATCGGGAAACAAACAAAGCTGTGTGTGAATTTTTATTTCATTATTTCTGGCCCATTGATGGTTTTGTTGAACTTGTAGATATTATACGAAAAGTGTATACATTGTTGCAAAATGAGTATTTATTGAGGTATATTAGGTATATTAGAGCTGAACTTTAGGTTTATTGTTTTATTCATTGTTTATTGAAAAACTAGTTTCCAGTCAGAAATAAAATTCTGGTATGAGGAAGTTGATTACAAACAACAATAATAAAATAATATTAGGTGACAACAACAACAAAAAAATCTAAAAAATCTAAAAATGCTAAATCGATCAAGTCATAAAAATAGCCACAGGGACTAATCAGTAGATGGCAAAGTATAAATTTTATCCATTTCGTAATGAAATCATGTGTTTTTTTAATTCAATTTTAAATTTTAAAATATTTCTGCAATTTTTATATTATGTGGTAATTTATTAAATTCAGCAATAATATTGAATTGACGAATTAACCAATTTGAACTACTCTTCATTCACTTTTCTCACAGTGTCCATGATGAATCAATCAACGAACATGTCATTGAATAAGTGCTCCAGGTATTGTATTATAGTGGGAAATGTGCAAGAGAATTTCATGTCCCATTACGGAAAATGTTTGTGCTTGTCCCCCTCCTCAGCTGTTCAATGGCCGACGATTTTACGTCATATGACGTCACTTACAGTGCTTTATTCCCTGGCAATGATTCTTCAGAGTTATCCCCACCATCCGCGTATCATGATTTCTTTCTTTCATCCGTGTTTGGCGTTTAGAATTTTTCGCGTATACTTTGTAATGATTTATGAGTGAATGGTGGTGTCTTCTCTATTATTATTCAGTCTGAGCACTCACCCGCAAATGTACAAGTGTCTCTTATTATCCCCACCATTCGCAATTATATTCATCTATCAGTGTGTGTTTGCTCTTTAGGATTGTAGGCGCATACTCTCTAATGATTTATGGATAAATCGCGGTGTCAATCTATTCTTATTTAGGCTGAGACGCAACCTGTTTATTATATTCACCTTTTCGGAGTACTTTTATCGTGTTAAAATACGTAAGAGTTGAGTTAGTGACGGAAATACACACATTGACAAAAACCCCGATTTATTAGATATGAACAATATATCTATGAAGGATATCAATTCTCTGTTTACGATTGTTGGCATATACTTGACTAGTTTTACTACTACCAATACTCATTACTATTTTTTTACTGTATATTTGTTCATATTTGTAAATATGCGGTATTATTCCTGCCAAGTAGAGATGCCTCTGTGGAATCATTTTTGGCTTCACCTTCTCGATGAAGATCGATATTTTATTATGTTTCAATGTGTGAGAGTTAATATAATGATGAAAATATATAGTCATTCATGAAAATCCCGAATTATCAGATTTAAAAAATATAATATCAATGAAGGATATCGATTATCTGGCAATGATTCCGCGCAGAGTGATCCCACCATTCGCGATTTCATTCATTCATTCTTGTTTGGCGTTTGGGATTGTTGTACTATACTTTTAAACATATTTTAAATGAATCGTGGTAAACGTAAGAGTGTGTTCCAGTGATTGATGAATTAATCTCAGTATGTTATTGAATTAAGTCAGTCTGAGAGGTAACCTGTCTATTATATGGATGTTGCACGGTTTTTTTTTCTCTCATATATTCATCTTCTCGAGGTCCTTATGTCACAATTCGTGAAACTTAAATCATTGATGGAAATACACATACATACAGGCTGATTTTAAAATAAGTGCATATATTTTAAACACTAAGAAAGCTTGAGGTATACTACCGAATAGCACTATAAAAAATATTATTAGGATCAAAATAGATTCGGGGCAAAATACCCTTTTTCCGCCCAGATTTCTACTTCTGTCACAACTATCGTTTGCGATCCGCAGTCGACCGTGATGAACGAAGTGACGTTGCCACTCTACATGACAATTAGGAGATATTAAATAAAATGTATAATCGAGAAAATGTACATACATGGGGAAGAAGTTAACCCTGGTCTTGAATTTCAGAAAGATAATACAAAAACTTTAAAATGGACTCACCCAAGATTTGTACACATAAGCTAGAAAAGCGTATATCTTAACACCTCCCCTTGGAAGTTCTTTTACTGAAAAATCCTTTAGACCCTTCCTTCCACCTCCTTGCATCGCTACAATTTCGTGTCATTCGAGGAGTCTCATGGGCCCCGCACAATAACGACCCGACATAAAAACCATATCATTCAGCTCAATGTTTGAGAAATGCATCGTCACTTTCTAAGCAAATTGTCAGAAACAAAACTTTACATTTACTAGTCAGTGTTGTTCCTGGGTCTGATTTTTTCGTAATAGATTTCCTTGGAAAAAGGTATTAGATTTGTATCAAAAGGTAATAGACTCGAAAAATCTGACATTTGACATTCGGAATGTCATTCTTGTGAAACCCTATCGCACTAATCACAGTTTTGACATAAATATAGAACATAGAACGGAACATAATTATCCGCTGAGCACAGAAATAGATTTTTTAGTATTGGAACATATTTTGGTGCTAATAGCAAATAGTAATAAGATTCATGACAAATCGTAATATCGTAACAATCTTTGTGAAATAGTAATAGAACGCGAACAATCCTAGTTAGTACTGTCAAAGGTCACAGCAAAGAGGAAAGCTATGGTCACAGATAGTCAGATACTGCTGTTTTGAGAAATGATGTTGACAGATCATATGATAATAGTTTTGTTTGTGTGGGCTGGTTTGTAAAATAGTTGTAAACGTAAAATAAAAAATAAAATAATTGGATGGAATGGACTCGATATTAGTATTTGTTTGCTCTCGGGAGTTTTGCTGTTCGAGCAGGTATGAGAAAATCTACAAGGTGAGTCGATTTTCAACTTTGTGTATGTTGTGTACCTATTTATTGTCTGCTAATTTTGTATCTACCCGCTGGGGCCTTATTTTCGAATTGAAGGAAGGGGGACGTTTTATCATTCCCCTCATGTTTCTCTCCGTCTCTCGTGATCCATGGAGATAATCACCCCACAGTTCTCTCAGTAAACTTTAAAAAATAAGGCTCCTGTACATATTACATTCACCTCTATTAGTTTCCATAACCTATTTCAATTCATGTTCATTCTGTAACAAATTTTTATCAGGATATTCGTCTCTGAAACAATCTGGCATCACTGTCTTGTTTTGACTTTAGTGAATGACGAATTGTGGATTCCCTAGGATTCCGCAGATTTCACTTGCTTCCCAGTGGCGTACTCGAATTTCGAAGCATTTTATGTTCAATTTTCAAAATGAAATTTCTCGTTAATGTGAAGACTTAGGAAAAATCAAATATTTTAGTAATTTTTGTTAGACTCTCTCATATATATGTCTTGAATATATGCACTCATTTTAAAATCAGCCTGTATATGTAAAATATATCTATGTAGAAGATCAATTGTCAGACAATGATACCGCGCAGAGTTATCCCCACCATTCGCGATTTCAATCGTTTATTCGTGTTTAGCGTTCAAGATTATTGGTGTATACTCTTTAGTGATTCCTGAACGAATAGCAGTGTCTTTTGGTCGTATATTCACCTTCTCGAGGTCCTTCTTGTGCTGCGGAGTCTTGAGCGTGATCGACCTGAACGTATCCTTGACCTGCTCGATTTCCGGCTCCAAATTCTGCAGCCTTGCTTCGAATTCTTTGTGCTCGAGCACGAGATGCTGCAGCGCGTCAACGTCTCTCGGCAGCGGGGAGAGAACGCGCTGGTTGATGACGCGCTCCGCCTCGTCCAGAGCCGTTTGCAAGCGGGCGATTTGGCTGTTGAATACTCTCGTTTGGTTCTTGCTCTCCTCTGGAAGAAGAGAAAGTTTTATTTATTTATTTATTCATTGAACGAATAACTTCCAGACAGAATAGGCTCTGGTATAAGGAAGTACATGATTATATACCTATATTTCTGCAATTTTTTATATAGTTAGGTAGTTTATTGAATTCAGTTAAGGATGAATGAGTGAATCTTTTTTGTCCGAATATGGAGCTAGCAGCGTCAAGATGAAACAAGTTTATTGTCTAGTTTCATGATTATGAATTTCAGAATTCCGTATCAAAATAATATTCGACTTCAATTTTTTATTTATGATTTTATATGATATTTTAAGAGTTTCAATTCTATATATTTCATCTAAAGAATACGTATTTGTTATTTCATACAATTGATTGGTTGGTGTATCAAATGGGAGACGATACAATACTTTTAACGATTTTCTATATAATGTTGAAACTTTATTGATATTATTTTTTGAACAAGATCCCCAAACATTTATCAAATAGTTGATACGACTTAGTATATGAGAGTAGAGGATCAATTTTGCAATTTTAATATCAAGTTTAGGACATCTTCTCAATGCACCAATAATTGGAGATTTTTTTCGTCAGACCATCAATATGTTCGTCCCACTTCAACCTGTCATCGAACCAAATACCAAGATATTTCATCGGGTCAGTTTGTTTTAAGAGTTCATTTTTTATTTCAAGGTTGAGGTGAATTGTCTGTTTATTTTTTTGGTGAAAAATCATATATTCTGTTTTGTTCGTATTTATGGATAAAAGGTTAGAGTGGAGCCATTTTTCAAATATTTTCAAGTCTCCATTTATCATATTTTCTGAATTTGAAGGATTCTTGCCTTCATATAAAAGTACTGTATCATCTGCATACATGGTATATTTACTCGCTAGACCAATTTCACTGATATTTTGACTGCGCAGTATCGGGTGCACATCAAATTCTATACAAAACAAGTCTGGTTAGTCTGGAAACCAGATAAACGAAAACGCGTTTTGATATTTTCTCATCTTCTTTCTCTAAAATATGCACCCTGTCTTGATGTTAACATGATAGTACTAAAAAAATCCTTGAATTTTTAATCGAAATACAGATTCATGGACTCGTCCTCAAAACCATCATTCCCGAATAGGTCTTCAGGATTTTCAGCATAAAATACGTTCAAGAACGTTTGTTCTCATCTGAACCTGAAAGGAACGATGAACTGGAAGCCATATGCCCAGTTTATAATCTACATTGATTTTTTTTTGATAATTCAATTCCTCATCTTGTTCAGAAGTGTATCTCTGAGAATGCTTAGAGTTTAAAAATATATTGCATAAACGCATGCGCATCCAAAATTATTCACGACAGTTATAAACATTTCTTGATCGGAGGCTCGTACACAAAATCTATGGACTACGAAACAGTCCTGAAAAAACACAAAATCTATGGACTACGAAACAGTCCTGAAAAAACGCGGACATTTCTTCGTTACTGCGCATGCTCCAGATGATTTAGGAATGTTAATTAATGGATCAGATCGGGCATTTCGCGCTCTAGATACGAAAATAACTATCATAAATTTGCTGTAGCGAGAGATATACCAAAAATGCACTCTATGACCAAGTGGGGTCAACTTCTGTGATATACACTGCTCGTTAAACAGCCATGGAACCACCCCAATTTCCGGGAAATGATATTAGGAGTCAAAATAGGTTTAAAATGATTTCGGATTCGGAATTAGGACGCCCAATTCACTAACTATTCATATTTTTTCCGGAAAATGTTCAGTTCCTAAAAATTAAATTTTGTCCAACCTCCGTTTCTTACGTAATCGACTTTATCTTTGGACTTTCCCTTCTTCCTGCAAATTTCAGAACCCTACCTCAATAATTACGTAAGATACGGAGGTGCTTCCGTAAAAAATGCGACAAAATTTAATTTTTCAGGAAAAAAATATGAATAGTTAGTGAATTGGGCGTCCTGATTCCGAATCCGAAGTGATTTTCGACCTATTTTGACTCCTAATATCATTTTCCGGAAATTGGGGTGGTTCCATGGCTGTCGGCGAGCAGTGTATATCACTGAAGATGACCCCACTTGGTTATACAGTGCATTTTTGGTATATCTCTCTCTCCAGCAAATTTCAGGATCCTTACCCAACGATTACGTGAGATACAGGGGTGTTTCCATTAAAAATGGGTCACACTGTATGTCCAATATACGGACACCATATGGATGTCCATAATGGACACCGAATGATAGATAGATAGATAGATTTCATTAGTCCTTTGTGCTACAATAAGTAGATAGGATAAGTCATACATTGGATAATATATAAAATAGTCATTTAAGATACACTACACAATACATATACTTATACATACATGTATAATATAGGTTGAAAAACAAAAAAAATCACAAAATAAACATTGAATAGGTATAATATAGGACTAGAATACTATATGGTTAAACAAGAACATCACCGACGCCAAAAATAGTAACTGACAAACGGTCAACTCCAAGTATAAATTCATCTACTGTATAGAAACAATTTTCCGATAAAAAAAGTTTCAGTTTTCTCTTGAAGAGCTGAGATGATACCGTCTTCATATCATCTGGCAAAATATTATACAGACGAATGCCGATAAACTTTGGGGATTTTTCATATTTTGCATGATGGTGTCTTCGAGTACTGAGCATATTTTTACTCCTAGTGTCGTAATTATGAACTTCTGCTCTCATTTGTAGTTGACCTTTATTTTCGTGAATATACATTAACGTTTTCAAGATGAACATACTTGCCACAGTCAGAATTTTATTTTGTTGAAATGTCTCCCTGCAGGAAGTTCTATATGCTATAATCTATATTGAAAATCAATCTGAGCAATGATTTCTGTTTCACAAAAATCCTGTCTATCCCGGTGGCTATAGTCCCCAGGAAGCGATGTTAGAATAAACAATGGAGTGAAACTTAGCATAGTAAACTGATATCAGTGATTTTGTATTTAACTTATTTCTGAGCGATTTCACAAGGTAATATGATTGATTAAATTTTTTGGATATATACTCTATGTGCTCTTGCCATGTGACGGTTGAGTCGATCATTGTTCCAAGAAATTTTGTAGAGCTAGCTGATTCCAGAGTCTATGTCCATCATGGATAACGCATGTATGTCCTAAAATGTGGAAAGCTGATATCCTATGGACATCCATAGGATGTCCTGTGTACACAAAGTGGTTATCCTATAGATGTCCAGGATGTCCGGTCGAGGATATCCATTGGATGTTCAATGGATGGAGGTGTGTTATTGGGGTTATTTCTTACCTTCGGCCCTTGCCCGTTTCTCGAACTCGTCGAACAGTCTGTTCACCTCGTCCATCTCCCTTCTCAATCTCCTGAGCTGCGGATCAGTAGGATCTCCTTCGGCCATCAATTTATCTGCGTCCTCGTTTAGGGCCCTTCGAATAGCGTTCCTTTGTTCGGCACCGATGGCAATGAACTGAGGCAGGTCCCAACCTTCAAAACAACCACCTCGAATTTATTTCGGAAATACTGTAAACAATTCTCATGCAAGGCAATAAGGCTTGTGGTAAATTCTGAAGTCATGATTCCAAAATTCAACGAATTACTAGATGAAAAAAGAATAACATTTGAATATTCAAGTTTATAGTTCACAAAAATACTAGTGTAAATATATCTCATGGACAATAGCTTAAGTGCAGGTTCTATATCAAAACCCAGTATGAAAACCTAGTAGTCGAATGGAATACAGAGTGTTTCAAGAATTGGAGCGATCATTGTGATGGTTTTTTTGATAACTTTTGAAGTTGAAGAGTAGAATGTATGTACTTCAATAATCGGGAAGTTCCTTATATTGAGGTTTTTATCTCACTTGGAAGTTTGTGAAAAATTAATATATACGTATTTTTTCTTTTTTTCGTAACATCAAATTTCACTTCAGAAAAAATAAATGAAAGAGGAACTTGGCTCCTCCACCATTCCTAGGACGTACTTTCTGAAAATCCTCATTCACACAGAGTTGAAATACGATTCTCCTTGTCAGTACGACGTTGCCGACATCATCAATATGTCTAGATTTTTGGAAATTGTTCTTTGAATGCATAATCACTATATCATAACAGCAACGGGATATAATAGGTTCTTCAATCCTAATTTGTCAAATATTATGAATAATTACCATAAATCTCTCATTGGCTGAGAAAAGTTGATTACTTCATTAGTAATTAGTAGGTTTTTTTTATGTTCTGGTTCCCACGAAAAGGGATATCCTGTAATGTTCAGAGAACATCATGAGAACCAAAGGAAATAAGGTAGGAATTGGTGTTCTTCTCAAATTTCTGGAGGTTATATGCCTCGGGGAACACCTCCCTTGGCAATGTGTTCCAGAGCCTCGCTGTTCGTTGGATGAACGAGTCTTTGGAAAAAGATGTTCTGCAGGTCTCCAAAGTGACCACGAAAGGGTGCGAAGCCTCAACTCGACGGGTTTATCTCGCGGGGACTGCCAAGGGAGGAACAATTGTTGATATTTCAGAAGAGCATCGTCCATGGAAATATCTATAAAATAGAGCCAGATCACTAACTTTTCTACGGTGATCCAGAGAAGTGGGTGAGTTTGCGAGCGAGACGAATTGCCCTCTTTTGGACAGAATCCAACAGTTTCAGGGTATGATTGGGTGCTGCACTCCAAATATGGGAACAGTATTCCAGGAAAGGTCGGATCTGTGCCTTATAGATCATAAGCAGCTCACTGGAAGTGAAATAGCTCCTGGCCCGAAACAGAAAACCAAGATTTTGGAATGCTCTTTTAGCAATTTATCTCACGTGATTTTCCCAAAAAAAGGTTATTGCTCATAGTAATACCAAGCATCGAAATAGATGTCTTCAAAGGTATGGTTACTTCTGACAAGCTTATATTGGGCACAGTGAGATCGGTTTTTCTAGAGAAAAGGCATGCTTGTGTTTTGTTTGCATTGAAATCTACCAAGTTATTGGATCTCCATTCGAGAATTGATGCCAAGTCCATTTTATGTTGTCAACATTTCTCCCTCGTTCGTTTCTGATTAACCTGGCTGGTATTGGAGCCCTGGAAGACAAGGCGGTATGGAGGGTACTATTATCCGCGAAGCTGTGTACTGGACATGAAGTTGCTTTCAACAAATCGTTATTATGGAGTAGAAATAGTGTTGGTGCTAGAATCGATCCTTGCAGAACACCAGCATTTATGATAAGAGGGTCAGATGAAACTCCGTCGACCACTACATGGAGATACCTATTTGAGAGAAAACTATCTAGCAGAGAACATTCTTGGGGAGGCAAGCCATAAGATGGAAGCTTGGCGAGGAGTCCCTGGTGCCAGACTCGATCGAATGCCTTGGAGATATCAAGTGCCACGGCTAAGGTTTCACCATATTTTGCAATAGATTGCTGCCATATATGTGAGGCGTAAGTGAGCAGGTCACCAGATGATCTCTGATGACGGAAGTCATATTGCCTATCGTTGATAATACCTTCATGAGCTCGATGTCGATATCTTTCTCCATGATCTTTGAAATAATAGATGACAGTGCGATCGGTCATGGAAGTGTCAATAATAATTACGAAACTCCTCCCATAATCGGAAATCAAGTAACAGAACATGCCAGTCGGTCATACTAAACTCATCATATAGACTGGCCGGTCTTGAAGAAGACACAACTAAAATTGCAGTTTTTCTAAGCATTTGTGGATCTGCAACATTTGAGAGGGCCAGTCTTTGGCATTGCCCACAGAAGTCGAGTGGGATTCCGTCGGAGCCACAAGCTTTGTTTGTGTTGAGACCCAATAGAATCTTCCTTATAGTACGTTGGCGAAAGGTGATATCGGGCATATGACTGTCAATTGGCGTTATGTTTGAAGGTTGTTTTCCCGATGAATCCAGAGTGGAATTTCCAGCAAATAAATGCGCAAAAATAAGGCTTTCTCCTGGGCAGTTGTGGCTAGTGTTCCATCTTCCTTGATTAGAGAAGGAAACGAGCTGGAAGTGAAGTTTCTTCCTACAGCTTTGGCGAAGGACCAAAATGAACGGGATCCGTTAGGACATTCAACAAGTTTTGATCTTATTTTGGCATTATGAGCATTTGATGATCGAATTGTCTCATTGCATATGCCTCTAGCCTCGACATATTCTGCTCTAGTCTATTCTCGTCTATTGATACGCAACAAAAATTATCGCCATAAACCACGAAAAAATACCAATTTGGGGTACAAAATAACCCCACTTAGTAGTACGAAGGTTAACGGAACATATCCTAAGCACGACAATGGTGCAATCAATGAACTCAATATAAACACACTTGGAAGGGAGACGGCCGTTCTCAAATAGCACAAAGTGTGTCAGGGGCAGCTGCAACAAAGATAGCATGATTTACGGTAACCGGTCTCTTTCCTACTCGTGTTGTTTAATGGTGGATTGGTGTTTACGTTTTCTTTTATCTAATAACTAAGGTACTTTAGATTTTTCTCTCATCTAAACATGCAAGAAAGTGAAGACATAAGTTCATTGTCTTTGTTTATGTGTAATATTTTTTCATTTGGCGTGTTTTGTTTTATAAAAAGGACTGAATTTGTTAGTGTGAACACTGTGAACTGATTGTTGAGAAGGTTTTGATAAACAAATGTTGATTTATTGTGTCGCCTTTGGATGCAAGAACGAGCAAGACAAAAGGAAATTGTCATTCCATGGGTAAGTTTTGTTTTTTATCGCTTGAAGCGCACGAAAGGGAATCCCACTAATGTTCAAAAAACATCGTGCGTTCCTAGGGAGGATAGGGATAGCAGGTAGGTATTGGATTTTTTTTAAAAACTGGAGATTATATGTTGTTGGGAATACTTCAATAGGCAATGAATTCCAGAGCCTAGCCGTTCTATGGATGAAGGAGTTTTGAGAAAGTGCTGTTCGACATCTTTCGAGGTTGACAAGGAAAGGATGTGCTGACTGGGCTTGTCTAGTTCGTCTGACTGGTATTGCTAGTGAAGGATGATAGCAGAGATTTCCGAAGAACATTTCCCGTGGAAGTATCGATAGAAAAGTGAAAGGTCGTCGACCATTCTACGGTGTTCAAATTTTTTGAAATTATAGTTCTTGAAATGATCATCAGTTAGGTGTACAATGTTCCCAGTCTCAGAATGTGTTCAAAAACTATTCCTATATTATTTGTTGCAGTTTTCCATTCAGACATTCTTGAATTATGGATTAAGGCGTAGATAATGTTGACTCCATCCAAAACCAGCAAACTTTGTGGAGAGCATTTCCTGCCAACTGATTATTTATTTAGACATACCAGGTACTGCTAGGTTATTGAGACCAGATGCTGTACCCAGTATATTTCCATTTCCTAAGCATTTTTTACCAAAATACTGATCCTTGAAGGAAAATAGGACAACTCATAGGTACCTAGTTGATTAATAATAAAAAAAGTATGTTTGCACCTCTCTAAAATAAAAAACTTGCTAGTATATAATTTGTTTTTAGGATGCATCTGTGGAAGTTGATAACTTGGGTCCCGAGGAAGATGTTTCTCATATTATGGACTTTACCTATGACTTCCAGCTCCCAAGTTTCAAAGTTCATCAACAAAGAAACCCAAACTGTTCCATTGGAGAAGGATATTGTATTGAGAATTGTATTTTTTTAATTTCTAATACGGATATGTTTGTAGGCAGTGACCTAATGGTAAAATAGAAACCTATGGAAATTATGCTCAAAATGGACCTTAGGTAGTCAATACCATTCAAGAACCTCTTTTCAAATTTTTCCTACCGTTTTTCTTTTTCTTCTGATAGTGCTAAGACATTGTGCTTCGCTCACCCTGTACAATATATTGTGACATTTGAATGAAAATAAATAATTTCAATTTTGTATCCATTTGACTTCCTAATCCTGTAAGAATAAAAATGAAATTTCATTTTTAAGTCAATAAAAAAATCAATAATAATTTTTTAATGATAATTGATTGCAACATTATCCTTTTTCCTATATGAATATTTTTATTTAATCACGTTTACTCTTAAATGAAAGCAAAAAACGAGAAAATATTTCAAATAATGCGAGCGCTTCCCATTACCCAACATGAGATAGAGAGAGATAGGTATCCGTAAACACTGCGGGTGGCCTGAACAATATTTTTGCCTCACTCGTCGTCCACAGAGGGTCCCTCCCAGTTGTTTATATTGCGTTCAATGGGTGCAATAATTCATCCGTCGAAAATGTCGAAATCCCTTACCTCTGACCACCTTGATCGTGGCGAAGATCATGTTCTGGCGCATGCGCAGGTGCTTCTTCTGCCACAGCGCCAGCGAGCGATCGTAGTGCCTGCGCAGGCGCTCAGCGGCGTCCAACGCCTCCTGGTCGGGCGACGGCAGCACGAAACACACGCCTGGCACCTGGCATTCCACGCCCTTGGCGTTGTGGACGCGCCACTTGGTGCGGCCCGAGGTGTCCGTCAGAGTGCACTCCTTGTTCTTCTCGATTACAAACTGAAATGAATGGATTGAATTCGATGATCAGAAAAGAACCTGGAATAGCTAATTGTGTATTTAGAGCGCAAAGTGATAGATTGCCGCTCGACAAAGAAAGTTACCGCGCGATGCGGAGCGGAGCGCGGTAATCTTTGGAGAACGGCAATAACACTTCGTGCTCTAAATACACACAAGATTTTTTCTACTAACGCAGCTTTTGGAAATAACTACCCTGAAAGTATGGGCGATTGAAATAGTTGAGAAAGTTCTAATCCATATTATCTCATATGTCCAAAGGAAACAAAAAAATAAAAATTGAAATAACTGACAAGCCAGAAGAAAAATGTCGGGCCTACCGAGAATTGAAACTGGACCACCAGCGTGGCAACCTGAGCTTCAGGCCTCTGAGCCATAGTACGATAAGCTCTGCAATCAAATTGAACATTACTCATTGATGCAATAAAATAAAGATACACTGTCTTTCTGATGACAACAAAGAGTTTAAATATAAAGTATAATTCATCGTTTTCAACAGATATGCTTCATCGGGAGCTTCTTGTAGAAATTTGTTGGTATATATCTTCAGCGGTGAATGTTTTGGATTTTTCTCGCTTTATATCCAATAGATTGTTTCTTGAGAAATGCGATAAGTTTCAGATACTTATTGATTCTGATATTATCTTTAACATTCAAGCATGAATACGTACCATCGAATATACAGGGTGTTACATATTTCAATACAACTATTTTAATGACATATTCCTGGGGTCAAAATAATACTTTTTTTTCCTATAAACATGTGTCCTAAAATCCACCCCCTCCAAGCTACAGACATCGCAAGATGCGCAAAAAAAATCTTAAATTTTGAATTGTGGCTACAATTATGCACCAAATATTTTGAAAATTCACAGGCACTTGTATTTTTAGACGATCTATTCATTTCTTGATTCATAAATAAGGTAACTCGATCCGAAAGGGTGAATGAGGGTTGCATACAGATTTGATGGCAAACATTTTCTATTTCCCCCAAAAAAAATTTGAATTCAAACATCATCGTTGAATTGGCCACTGAAAAATCATACATTTCAGTCTCCTGCATTTTCTTGAATTAGCTAACCGTTTTAGAGAAAATCGCTAGTAAATGAAAGGGGTGTATTTTCAAATTATCATAGTAAAAAAACTTAGTGAGCTATGATTATGTTTGTCTCTGGTAACTAATGATCAATTAATATCTTTTATGCCAAACTGACATTGTGGTATGTCATAACCGTCATGTCACAATCGATTCACTTTCCTCAACTTACCATTACACGCTCAGAAAACGGTTCAATTACTACAAATGTTTGTAGCTTGTTTATAGGAAAAAAAAAGTCTTATTTTGACCCCAGGAATATGTCATTAAAATATTTGTATTGAATTATGTAACACCCTGTATAGACCGATGAGTTGATGACTTCAAAGTCTTTGATTTTTTACCAAAATAAGCAAGTAAAACGTTTTATGAATACATATATATTCACCATCTCGGAGTGGCACCAATGTATGAATGTATCATATTGTAATTCATATTTCTTCCTTGATTTCTCCGGTAAGAGATTCAAACTCTTGCGCTTTCTGAAATATCATCAGGAAGGAGGTGTGTTTGATGATTCACTGTCACTATTTTCCATCATGAAAGAATTGGGGGTTTTCAAGAATAAATAAGTATAGGTTACAGAGATAAGCGAGCGTTTTTTCAATATTTCCGCTCACGAGCGCAAATGCTGTCAAAGAATGACATTTCTGGGAAAACGTCAACTTTGTGCTGGAATTTGAAAGCATCAAAGGCTACTTTGTTGAGCGTTTGTAGAAAAATTAGTTTACTTTCCACAAGGAAAGAAGGCAATTCCGAATCGATGGGTGCTACGTATAATAGTTATTTATGTATTAAGGGAATTATGAGGGCCTTAATTACCGATGGCAAAGTTTGCGTCCCGAGGGCCTCTGGCCCGAGGGACAGCAATTGCCTGAGGTTATTGAGGCTCAGTAATTCCCGTGATACATAGATAATTTTATTTCTGACTGATTTCATTCATTAGATACCTTCCCGATTGGAAGTTAGACATGTTTTTCCGTATAGTTTCAATGTCATCAGAACGTCAGATGATGATCTTGACTACCGCGAATAGGAGATTCCTTATTGCTACGTTACTGCGTGGCTGTTGCTATGCATTTCTTATTTAATTTTAGAGGGAATTATAGCATCTATAACATCCCAAGGGAGTTATGACCCTCATAATAGATATCGTAACTATGACGATATAAGCTTATAATGTCACTGTCAGAAATAAAAACAAATACCGATGGTAGCCTGAAATGCTATAAGGCTAGACTAGTAGCGAAGGGTTATAGTCAAAAATTTGGAATTGACTATGATGAAATTTTTAGTCCCGCAGCCCGATTCGATACGGTCAGAACTATATTGAGTATTGCTGCATCTGAAAAACTCAAACTTTTGCAGTTCGACATTAAAACTGCATTCTTGTATGGTGAACTCCAAGAAGAAGTATTTATGAAACAACCAGAAGGTTTTGATGATAAATCTGGTCAAATATGCAGGTTGAATTGAAGTCTTTATGGGCTAAAACAGTCACCTCGTTGCTGGAACAAACGTTTTGTTGATTTCATCAAGAAGAATGAATTGCAATGTAGCACATCTGATCCATGTCTGTTCATCAGAAAACATTCTAATGATGAACAAGATATATCATTATTTATTGAAAACCTAGGTAATGAATTCCAAATTACCAAGAGCACATTGGATTGTTATCTAGGTGCACAGATAAAACAAATGGTTGATGGAAGTATTTACCTAAGTCAGAGTGCTTATATTGAGAGGATATTACGCAAATTCAATATGCAAGATTCAAATGCAGTTGTAATACCTTGTGAAGATATAAATAATTCTTGCTAGGAAGATAAGAAGACATTAGCCAGCAATATTCCTTCTGTACTTGGTGATAGCTTCACGACCGAATATAGCTTATGCTGTAAGCATTGCCTCGGAGAAAGTGAACGCACCATGTGTAGCAGATTGGCGTTCAGTTGAACGTATCTTCAGATATTTGAAGGGAACAATCAACTACGGATTATTCTATGATGCTAATAAACAGCCAAATAATGTAGTTGATATTTTCTCTGATGCAGATTACGCAGGTGATGCAGAAACGAGAAAATCCAGAACTGGAGTAGTTTCGAAATACTCAGGAGCAGCAATAACATGGTTCAGTCAGAAACAAAGAAGCATTGTTTTGTCAACCACGGAGGCAGAATATATTGCTGCAAGTGAAGCAACGAAAGAGTTAATCTGGATCAAACGATTACTAGAAGAAATCACCACATTGAATGAGAATCCTATTCTTCATATGGATAATGCAAGTGCCATTAAGCTTGTAAAGAACCCTGCATTCCATAAAAGATCTAAACATATCGAAATAAGGTATCATTTCGTTCGTGAAAAGTTTCAATGTGGTATAATGAAAATTCAGCACGTCAGCAGTGAAAATCAAGTTGCAGACGTCATGAAGAAATATATGCCTAGAATTAAATTCTCAAGAATGAGACAAATGCTTGGTGTAGTTCCAGTTCATTAGTATTCATTTGAGAGGAAGTGTTGAAAAAAAAAATAGTCCAATAAATAAAAGGAAAAAGTTAACATTAATTACGCACTATTTTCATCTTCCGGTTGGAAGTAGCTTTTGGTACCTCATTAAAAATGAGACAAAGTTTGACTGGAAAACGCGTGCGATGGCGGAGAAAATGGCCCCAAAAGACCAGAAAAATAGGTTTTCAGCCAATATCTCCTAAAATATGGCAGTTAGAGATTTTCGGTCAGATAAAAATTGAAGTTCAGTTAATTTTCGACAAAAATGGTCCTTATCATTTTTCTCGAAAATTTGCCCAGTTTCAGAAAAAACGGCACGAAGCGCACCTCGAATAATGATCTTCTGTTGTATGCCGGAGAGCACAGTCCGTGTATTTATTCATCGTCGGGGGGACAGATTATTCAATAACTTTGTTAAAAATGCATATTTTCTCATGATTCAAAGTTCATGTGAAAGAGGAATTCTGCTGCTATCATACCCTGGGAATTGAGTCACGCTTGACTCTTTTGGCCATATCGGAACATGGGTCAAACTTTCTGCTCCCGGTCAATTTTGACCTCGCCAGGAATTTGTTCCTTTTTTTTTGTATTGCACTAATTTACTCAAAATTTTCTTGATTATGGGTCCTCATAAGGTCCTTTGTCATCCCTGGAATTTGTATATCCTAATTTTTGTTAAATTTTCATTTAATCTTTGTTTATTGAATCGCAATTTTTTGCTGTTTTTGGAGCGCGGGGAAAACTATCAATTAAAAATTTATACATGATCCGATAGGTTTCTATGATACATCATTTGAAAGCTAAGAAGGTCTACTTTTCGATTGTGCAATTACTTTTTTAGACGAAGTCGTCCATTTTTCAATAAAATTAGAAAAAGCGGGGTCAAGGAAAAAACGCACTTTTTTTCAGTGGTTTTTTTCTCCGTGCTCTTCATTTCTAACATGTCAACACCTTAACTAGTGTAACGGGGGAATTCCCACCTTTCCATCGATGTATATAAGTCATACCTTTGATATCCCGGGAAAAAACCAGTATATCTGAATGTACACGCTATAATTTATTACTTTCGTTCCTCCGTCGTTCGCCGCGTGTGTGTTCTACGTGGCGCTCGGGTCGTCTGCTACAAACCATGCGGCCACGCAGGGTATGATAGCAGCAGAATTCCTCTTTCACATGAACTTTGAATCATGAGAAAATATGCATTTTTAACAAAGTTATTGAATAATTTGTCCCCCCGCCGATGTGTAAATACACGGACTGTGCTCTCCGGCATACAACACAGAAGCTCATTATTCGAGGTGCGCTTCGTGCCGTTTTTCTCGAAACCGGGCAAATTTTCGAGAAAAATGATGAGGACCATTTTTGTAGAAAATTAACTGAACTTCAATTTTTATCTGAACCGAAAATCTCTAACTGCCATATTTAAGGAGATATTGGCTAAAAACCTATTTTTCTGGTCTTTTGGGGCCATTTTCTCCGCCATCGCACGCGTTTTCCAGTCAAACTTTGTCTCATGTTTAATGAGGTACCAAAAGCTATTTCCAACCGGAAGATGAAAATAGTGCGTAATTAACATTAACTTTGCCTTTTTTCCTCCTTCATTTATTGGACTAAAAATAATCTAAGCAAGCAGCAACTACTGGAAGCAGATGTTTAAAAAGAAGAAACTGGTAGTTGTGTACTCGGTAGATTTTGAAATCATTGAAATATTGAATTGTTAATAAAGTTGTCAAAAAAAAGTTATGAAAAAAACTTCAAACGTGAAATACTTCGTGTGGTTAGATAAATAATCTCAAAATTTTGAATAAATCAAATTTCATTAATGATCCACAAATAAATCACAAAAAATTCCTAGAAAGTACAAATTGTCAGTAATGAGTAATTCGCAGAGATCAGCTGATCACAACAAATCGCTTCTACCACAGCCGTCTTCAACTATCAAGCCGTGAAGAAGCAGTCTGGCAACATTGTCCGAACGACCGAACTTGCACCTGTCGGCCATTCAAAGTGTATTGTGTAGGAAGTAAACAAGGAGTTTATGGAAGTTTTTTCAAAAGTTTTCAATTATTAATTGGTATAATATTGAGATCAAATAATTTTAAAAGTATTAGCAACAATCTAGGAATCGACTCGAGACTGAAAGTGTGTGGCAAGTGCATTCAAAATTGTGTTAAATTGGAGGTTATAGTGAAGTGTACTAGTGCTGGTGTATTTGCAAGGGAATTTGTGTTGTTTTTTCAATTTACTCCTGGAAATAAGTAAGTTATTTATTATTCCTTATGAAATATGCCTTCTCATTGTTGTGTGCCAGGATGTAAGTCAAATTACAGCTCTGAAAAAAAGCTGGGAAAGGATCATGTTTCAGTTTTTTTATTCCCAAAAGGGGAAGAATTGCGAAGTAAGTGGATAACAGCAATACCTCGAAAAAACTGGACACCATCTCAACGTTCTACAGTATGTGCAATTCATTTTATTGAAAAAGATATCATCAGGTATGATACATTCCCTCTGCCAGATGGATCAATTGGAAACAATTTGTTACGAGCACCAAAGTTAGTCAAAACAGCAGTTCCTTCAATTTTTCCAAATTTACCAAAATATTTTCCAAAACCAGCCAAATCATCAAGAACTGATCCAAATGAAAGACGTCAGAAATATTTAGATATTCAAAGTAATATAATAGAACACTTTGAAAAATCAGACCTCATCCACAACTATGAACAGTTAGTTAGGGAATATGTTGAGAAAGTTGAAATTGATACTTGGAAAATCCATAAGACTGATGATAAATTGTATTTTTATGAATTAGATTTGCAAGCAAATGTTTTTTATCCCAATGATGTAAATACTTTACAAATTGTTTCTCAAGTTATAATATCCAATGAGATGGAGATGGGTTTTATTTTATCAAAATGTTGCAAATTACGGCTTCAGTTCATGACCAAGGGAATTATTCAACCACATTATTCCTCGTTATTCGCTCTGTAAGTTCACTCTCCTGTATTTTTTACCTATTCGACAAAATAATCCGAGAAAACCAAACATGCAAAGCTTGCGCTCATATAAAAACCATTGAATTGCTAGGCTCGAATGGGACCGACGGTTTCCGTTCGTGCGACGTTGCCAGTATCTCAGCACGGCTTGATATTTGAAGACGGCTGTGCTTCTACAAATGTCAAATAAATCTGGCATCGGTGTACAGTTTTGCCAACTTAAATCGATAACGCGGTTCGCCCAGCTCGAAAGTTACTACTATTTTCCGATGTGCAGTTTTGGCATGACATTGTTACCAAGTATTGCCCATCTATCAACCTTAGGTGAAAGCCCTTCATTCAGTCTGCGAACGAAATCTCGCCCACTCACATTGTTTTGCTTGTAATTGCAGATGGCGGTGACGGCTGTCGGCCTCGTGACCGGCTGCCTGCGCTGCTTCAACGGCACCACGTCCTGCGCTCTCTCTCCCAACGTTTGGACCTGATCGCCGAACGCGCTCAGCTCCTCTCTGAGCGCCTGCATGCGCTGCAGCAGGCGTTCGCCCGCGTCCAGTCCGAACTCGCCCTGGCTGAAGTCGCCGTTCATGACCTCTTCTTTCCTGCGGCAGAAATGGAAAGACATGACAAATACAATATTCAAACCAACAATGATTACGCCATAGATTAACAAACCTTACAGATGAGACACTCCGCCCCTTTTGTTTGATGTACCGACACATGTGTTTCGTGACCTCGTAGGTAGAGTCACTGGATGTTATTAGTTTGATAAGAGTTCGGACACAGAAATGACAACGGTTAGGGTTTTTGAATGTTTAGATTTATTAAGTTTCACACTTTGCATCGTGACAAGAGCACCATAGTCGTCCCGCGCTTTTTCATTCAAAATTGTTTGAATTTGACAATACATTTTATAAACGTCAGAATTGAAATAAAATATCATAATTATACATTCCAGATGAAAGCAGCTATGGAAATTACTTGCTGTGTAATAAATTGTGCCAATTCTGAAGAAAATGAATATCATTTATTCAATTTCCCGAAACAAATATCAACCATTCGCTTATGGAAGGAAGATGTGAAATGGCCTGGGTGCAAAATCAATTCCAAGACGAGCGAAATTTGTGAGGTACTCATTAAAATTCACTTTTTATAACAGCATCTGATTAGAATGAAACTATATTTTAGGCCCATTTTCGAACAGAAGATTTCAAAATCTGTTTGTGAGAATCTGCTGTTCCATCAATTTACAAAGCAGGCGATTTCGAGAACAATATTCTATTATTATCATCACACAAAATTCAAAACAAAATAATCATGGAAAAGAGGAAATGATCGCAAAATTACATAATGAAATTGAGAATTTGAAAACGAAAGTAAGAAAAGCAAGTAAACTATAAAGTGATATATTAATGAATGGCGATTTTGGTACCGACCAACTTTAAATTTAACAGTGGAAAGTGAATAGTTATTTATGTATCAAGGGAATTATTATAAGGGCCTCAATTACGCTGGACGTTAATGTTTTGGAGATATTTTCTATATCAATCCATGTTACTTAGCTCCTAGGGCGCTAAGTGGAGTTGCTGAGAACTTTAAAAAACCAAGTATTTTGTAGGTCTCGTCAAAATAAACTACTTTTTTCCTATCAAATGTTCATGGAAAAATGATTAGTTCTCTGTATTTCAGCACTCTGTATCTCCGAAATGAAGCATTACCGGACACAAAAGCTTATATAAACTTTATTCCTTATAATTGTCTCAGGAATACTTCACTTGAAAGTACTTATGTTACTTCCTGTATATTGAGAATACCTACCTTTAATTTGATATAAATAACTTCATGTTTTATACTTATCACTGGAGTACAGTTTCACATACAATAAGGAATTATAACTATAAGTTTATCCATATGTGTATATTTTCTAATATTGAAATGTTGTTACATGCATTCTCTTCATTTATATAACAGTTGTTCTGCTAGAAGTGTATCACTATAAATTGCAGTGGATGTTTGTACCCTATACCCATTATCCATCTACGGCTATGATTGATTTGACAGAAAATATAACCTCTAAAATCGTATCTGACAATCAGGCACTACTAGGGAAATTGAAAAGACAAAGAGCAGAATATATGTCTTATTCTTTTATTCACTTAAACCATTGTATTATAGAAAATAGAAGAGGACAAAAGTTCAGCTGTGTCCGAACACTTATCAAACTAATACCATCCAGTCACTCTAATACAGATGAATTTATACCAATCATCTATGAGCACTTACTCTTTGATCCACTCTTCGGCAGTATGGATGTCGCCGAAGAACATCTGGTAGTTCCTGGAGTTCTGCAAGTGCGTCTCGAGGCAATGGGTGAGCTGCAGTATCCACGCCCATTGGGCGTTCATGGCCGCCATGTGGGCCTCGATCGCCTTGGTGGCCGGATGGTTTTGCAACACCAGGCATTCTCCTCTCTCTAAGACGGCGTTGAACTGGATCTCGCGTTTTTCCAGCTCGCTCATGAGATGCTGCAATTAGCAAATTTCCGATATTGAGGTTATTATCTTGTCACGACCCATGGCTACAGGGTAGTGACTCGGGGGTGAACTCGCTTGGGAGGCCGACAAATGAAAACAGTTATTCGTTATGAAGCTACAATTTATTGAAAAAAATAGTTTCATTGGTTTAGACAAAGGTGGATATATGTATGGTGAAATAGCTCCCTCTTACAAAAACCTAGAAATGTTTGTAGACCTCTGGCCTACTTGATTATGTCGAATTCTATCACCGTAGTAAGGCCGCGCAAAACTAACGCTAGATGGCGCTGTTCCTGAAGTTATCTTGCTACACAATGGTTGTATTGTTTTGTTGTTTACATTTACGTATATTAATTCGTAATTTGAAAACATTGAGAAAAAGTGATTGATTTAATGAAAAAGACGTGAAATTTTCATTATATCTGTGAAGTATATGTGGCATGATGTTCCCTACGCCATCTACAGTCAATCCTGTGCGGCCTTGCTACGGTGTTTCGCGATCTACACGTTTTGGAAAGAAACAATTGACAAGTGGTTACACCAGTCTATTCTCATCATGGTTCAGACCAACAAGGATCAAAATAAACGTACATCCGACTTCGCAATACAGAGAATCATTACATAACTTGGCACCATGAAGTACTTACAAAATTATCTCTAGAAGACGCAGGGGATGAACCATAGTGAGTGCTGGCTGATCAGATCCAAACTGTCACTTGCCTTATCGACTGTTCGATATTTATTTAGAATATTTTGACATAGTCAGCGTTTTACTCCATATGCGAGTAGAGTAGAGTAGAGTTTTATTGACTACTTGATGTACATTCATACATTTGTAGCAAGTCCTAAATGATTCCATTTTGGTGAAAAGAATGTAAAAAATGATAATTTATAATAAAAGACAAAAAATATACAATCAGAGACGAATAATATACAATCAAAAACAAAATACACATTTACGTTTCCCTCAAGAGTGGATATTCGGCAAATGTGTTCCTTGTATCAAAATTGTGGCCACTAACGTGAGCCAGATATTCTGCAATCGAGTAAAAGCAATTTTTTTCAAAATAATCTTTCATAACTCTCTTGAAGGAAAACATATTCATAGTTTTAATACTGGCAGGAAGAGCATTATATAATCTAAGATCATGAGAATTTTTTTGTGATTTGCTGAGTTTGTAACGTTGAGTTCTAATAAGATCACTGTTGCGTGTATTGTGATTATGCAAACTGGATTGCTTAGGAAGCAGGGGAGCTTTTTTGTGAATCTCTACTGTACTCGTATAAATATACATTGAAGGTACTGACATTATTTTGTGATTTATGAATGAATCACGACACGAATCTCTGTAACCAATTCCAACAAGAATTCTCAGAGCCTTTTTTTGTAATATGAAAATACATTAGAAATATGAGATTGAATTAGTGAGCAAAAACCTATTTTCAATGTAGTGAAATTAGTTATAGGTTTAAGTTGTCGAAGTAAAAATAGAGCACTCGATAATTTACTTTTCAAATCTGAAATGTGGCTGGACCAATTTAACCTATTATCCAAGGTGAAACCCAATAACTTAACAGTTTGGAACTCAGGTAATGGTTGAGCCGTAGATATCACCATGTTTTGTGATTTATCGTTATTCATCATAAGTTTATTAACACTAAGCCAATAGTTGGCTTTTCCTTGTATTTCGACAGATTGATCAGCAAGAGATAAAAGCTTTTTTGAGGAGTAAATGAGGGATGTATCGTCAGCAAATAATACACTGTGACATGGTTTCATATAGTTGTAGAGATCATTAATATAAATCACAAACAACAGCGGACCCAATACCGATCCCTGAGGCACACCCAAGTTAATTGGTTTCAGTTCAGAAAATTCATTGTTATAAAAAACCGCCTGGAAACGATTATTTAAGTATGTTTTTATTAGTTCTAAAGTTATTCCTCTAACACCATAATATGAAAGTTTTTCGAGTAATATGTTGTGGGAAACACAGTATTTCATTCCGGTTGACTGAGTTGCCAACGTGAGTGAAACATTATACGCGTTTCCTTTAATCGAATGTTATACGATGAAAAATGAATAATGAACTTTACTAATGAAATCTTCTCTTGAATCAATATAATTTCGCATAAAGTAGCTATGATAAAATATTTTTGGTTCCTATCGTGACAATCTCACTGTTAAGTTTATGAACATTTAATAAATGAGTTTTGTCAGAAGATCAAATTTCACTTCATAACAAAATACATGAAAAAGGAACTGGGCTCCTTCACCATTCCTAAGACGTAATTTATGAAAAGCCACATTCACACAGAGTTAAAGAATACGATTCCTTGTATCTGTATCAGAAATTGTTCTTTGAATAAATTATAACTATATCATAACAGCAATGATGGGATATAATATGTTTTACAATCTCACTTCGTCAAGTATAATAAATAATTTACATGAATCTCTTATTTGCTGGATGAAGTTGATTACTAATGGAGATTAATTAGAATATTTTGCGTATTATCTATAATTTTAAACTTTAGTTTTATTATAAAATGATGATCATAATTTGTCATTCATTTTTTTCAAAGAATTCGTTCCTTTATAAAACGGATCTAATTTCTATGAAAGTTGTAGATTATATCTCACAACAGCGCAAATACATTGAGCCACAAAATACTGACAGGCACACCGAGAGCTGATCTGATTTTGTGATTACGTATATATTTTTTCACAAGATTTACTTGTGACGAAAAATAAATGGTTTGAGATATATTAAAGCAACGATCTCTCTTACTGATTCTCTCTGTTAGGTTGATCCTCAAAGATATTGAAAAAAATGAGGTTACTAAACTTGTTCAGGTTAGATGTGTTTCATCAGCATACAGTCAGATGTACGTTTTGATCACATACTGGTGCAGATAGTGCTGGTGTAGGAAATTTTAGTTCAAGTAGTTTCAATTTTAAGAACAATATTAGGCTCACTAATAAAATTGTCATTTCATCGACTGATTGTTTACCTCTGCATTGATTCCAAAAACTCGCTGCATGTAGAAATAAATGACAATTGAATGATCTTCATTATTTATGCAAAGAAGAAAAACAATATAATTATATGTAAAAATGTAAAGTTGAAGGTTTCAATGTCGAGCGAAATTTATGAATGATTTTCAAAGATGTTACACATTCGATATAGACAACGTCTGTGTAAAAATTGACAACGCTCCGAAGGGACGTAACAGACCAACGGCTAATCGGCTGTGCTGATTCGTTGTACAAATATTTATATCGTAGTCGGTGAAATATACGGCGATATAACAGGCGTTTGTTTGTGATTCTCTGGTGTAAGAATTGTGTACGAACGAATAACACGGCAAAGAATGAAGAAAGACATTGATGTGATGACAACCGTGTGAAAACAACATTCAATCAAAATGACATAATAATCATCAATAAAAACATCAAAGTTTGGATGAGATCAATTTTTGGATCTATGGATTGGATACATGGATTGATGATACATATTGAATAATGGTTACAAGTATATTGGAGGGAGAAATTAACGTCATCCTATTTGCGTAAAACGGGCTATCGGTAATCAAAGGTTCTCAAAAACACAAAGCATTGGCTGAGCCAATTTCACACAACGAGAACTAGAATGCCGAAATCTCCTATGTTTAATACTTGTACGCTTTTTTATTGAATACGACTGTATGTAAGAATTTCTAACTATGACTGATCCCTGACTGATTCCCTAGACATTGGTGTCATTCGATATTATAAAATTTTGATAGTACCTATACAAGGTATGTCACGACGAGCTTACACTATCTTTATATCGAGAATCAGTCGGGAGAAATCCATGAAAATGTGCATGCTTATATTTCAGAATACGCTCTTTTCATTTAAAATATTTAATACAATGCAGTGTTTGCCGCGTCTACTAGAAAGTAGTAGCAACATTGATATTTCAAATGGAACACCCTGTATTTCATCGCATTTTTAGATTCTCCCTGAAGAGCTGATTTCATCGATGTATCACACTTGGGGTCTATCGAAAATGATTACAGAGATATAGGGTGTTCAAAATCGAGATTTTTCAACTTGAGGATTTTTTTGTATCGAAACTATTTATTATAGGTCAAAACGACTCACATGTCCCTATCTCAATTTTTGATTCACTATTTATTGATATTTAATCGGAACAGATACAGGGTGGTTCAAGATTCAGAATTCTGATAACCCTGTATCTGTTCCGATTAAATACCAGCAAATAGTAAATCAAAAGTTGAGATAGGGACATGTGAGCCGTTTTAACCGATAATGAATGGTTTCGACATAAACAAATCCTGAAGTTGAAAATCTCGATTTTTAACACCCTATATCTCTGTAATCATTTCCGATAGACCCTAAGTGTGATGTATCGATGAAATTAGCTCTTCAGGGAGAATCTACAAATGCAATAAAATACAGAGTATTCTGTTTGAAATAACAAAATTGTTGCTACTTTTTTATAGAAGCGGCAACACTGCTTTGCTGAAAATATTCTAAATGAAGAGAGCGTTTTCTAAAATATAAGCATGCATATTTTCATGGATTTCTCCCGACTGATTCTCGATATAGAGATAGTGTAAGCTCTTCGAGACACACCCTGTATATTAATGGAGGATATTGTAGTGAATCATGCAGTAAGCACCATATATTATATACAGGGTGTTTCAGTTTTTTGTAGCAGGACTTCAACAGCTTGAAGAAGACATTTTTTCAAGATGAAAATCTCAAACAAACATATATGCGTGGGAGCTTCGTTTCCGATTTACAGGGTGTCGAAGTTTCAGATTTTTTTTATGTATTTTGAATTTTCTTCTACAATTTTCGGAATGACTGATTGAAATTTGGAATACCTAATACACTTCAAAAACTCAATATTTGAGGCTATTGAGCGTTTTTGAATACCTACAGGGTGATAGACTTTCAGGGGTCGTACCCAATTTAACCCTGTAGAACTTTTTTGCGTGCCGCCTCTGCTCTCAATGGGACATAGATTCAGATTGTCTCTGCAATTTGGAAACTTTTTTCCCTTATGTAAATTTTTCGAAAACTGTATGGATCTCGAGATAAATGCCAAAAATAAATTACTTGTAATAAAACCGTTATTTCTCAAACACACTTATTTGACATTTCTTAAACATTAACTGAAAGTCTATCAACCTGCAGGTATTCAAAAACGCTCAATAGCCTCAAATATGAAGTTTTCGAAGTGTATCAGGTGTACCAAATTTCAATCAATTATTCCGAAAATTGTAGGAGAAAATTGAAAAAACATAAAAAAAATCTGAAATTTTGACACCCTGTAAATCGGAAACGAACGCATATTTGTTTCTATTAGATTTTCATCTTGAAAAAATGTCTTCTTCAAGCTGTTAAAGTCCTGCTACAAAAAACTGGAACACCCTGTATATGGAAACGGAAAGTGCATTGAAACTTATATTTGTTACCTACCTAGCAACGTTCTTCATGAAATTATGAATTCATAAGATGACAAGATTATATCCAGAATATGTAATGAAGAAGTCCAAAAAATTTTCATGACATTATTGTTTCACCACGATTCAATACAAAGACCTTTCAGAGCCATTTCAGATTGACTCCTGAATATTTCAATGAGTTATATGCACATTTTTCCTCTTTTGTTGGCTCATCCTTTCCATCAGTAGGTACCTACCTATTTCTATTTTTGATTACAACAAAATTATAATGATGTATGTCAAATACCCTTATTTGTCAAGCTTTCCGAACATTCCACCACGTGTTCGATGTTCTGAGAGCAAATGGCCAGTGCCACCAGAATGATAAAAAAATCCACAGAATTGTCAATAAAACGGCGATTCTGTCCTACTGGTGACACTAGCAATGCCAATGAAACGCAACTATTCGCGGGAATCAATGTTACCAGGTGGCGCTCGGTTTACGTTGTTCCATGTCAGCCACGTCAAAACTAGGGGAAAACAAACCCAATCCTCACTCAATTCCCTTAGTGCCATTAGCTTGTGTACGTTGTACTGATAAGAGTGATAAGTTTTCGAATTTCTTGACATTAATTGTCAATATTCGATCGAAAACGCTAATAATGCCTGTTGTAGATGTTCATTTGGCAGATATTTTGCTCTATTTAGATGGAAAAGGCAGACCAGTAGTGGAAGGAGAAGCAGTTCTCCGTGCTAATCATGTGATTTTGTGTGAGGCAGAAGACTTCAACAAAAGGCACATTTTAGCACTTTATCTACAAACTTCGGCGAGGAAATCTTCCCCACATGAAGTAAAATCGAAGTTGGAGTCCAGAGGAACTCCTGTAGAACAATGGATTTGTATTTGTTCATGCAAGACAGGATAATCTGGGTATTGTGAACATGTTGTAGCTGTTCTTTTATATGTCAATTGATTTGCTCGTCATAATTAGTTTGAATCGTTTGAACTATCTCCAATTCTTCACCCGTTCACTGTTCACTAAACTAATAAAAATGAAATAGTGTAAAAAAATTAACCAACTCAACCATCATCATACCAACAGTACCAACACTTTATGTCATTGATAAGTTGGACTACAGCTACAGCAAGCTGAATGCAATGTAGTCTATGCACTTTATCCATAGACAACAGTTTGTTTTGACATGACAAAATTGTGACAGGTCAGTTTTGAGTTAATAAAGAGTTAGTTGTCGAAAAGAGAACAATATACGACAATTTACGAAGTTACTGTTCTAGGTCCAAGTCTTTCTATCATTTGTATCAACGACATATTATCAAGAACATAATACCGAACGCATTTATTCAAATCAATGCTTTAGTATTCAGCAGTCATTCCATCTACTTTCCAGTTTATCACGCCATAAAAAACGGCGCTATAGACGATTCAAAATAAGCGATACGCTCTCTTGCAAATTTTCAAGTCAACCAATGGAAAGTACATTGAAAGTTTGTTTTTCTCCGATTGGCAGCAAATATTAATTTTGCTGACACATATCAATCAGCAAAGTATTACTTTTCCTGCCTAGGCAGCAAAGTGGGTACTTTGCTGCCTAGGCAGCAAAATGGTTACTTTGCTGATTGATATGTATCAGCAAAATTAATAATCCGGCAACTAATTCAACTTTTTTGCCACCTCCCTTATTTCTGGAGGAGGAAGTACTTCCAGATCGCTATCACTGTCCATTATATAATAATTTATATATACCGATATTTTTTTGCACAACTGTCAGAAATTTCATGACTTGTCAAACTATAATTATTATGGACATTTCCATAGCAACCAACCATTCCAACAACTGAGATTTCTATCAAATTTTATTTTAATTGAACACTACAGGAAAAATAAAGAGATTGTGGGAATTGTAATAATTTGCAAATACAATATCCTCCTATATCATTATGAACAATCGGAGAAAAAATTATATGTTCAACTCGGCAGCAAAGTAGATTGACTGCCGAGGCTGAATTCATAGCCGAGCTGCCTAGTTAAACAAATAACTATTACATCCAAGCTTCCATGTTTACATCGCTAAACGCACCGCCTCGCAAATGCAAAATTCGCTCGTCAAACAAAGTGCCACTTTTGATCCTAATAAAACAATCTACTATTTCATTCTTGCATCTAATCTTCACAATCTGATACGTCCCCACAACGCTCGAATAAATCCCCATTTAGCCTTTTTGCCTCCCCTACTAAAAATACGGTTATGAAGAAAATTTGATCCATTTACATTCATATTCCAGTCGAACAAAATTACCTCGAAATATTTCTCGACGGCTCGCACGTCTATCTTGGTGTCGCTCCAGTCTCTCGTCACTTCCGTCTCTTCTTTCTCGTTCAGCCACTGCAGCTCGTTGGTGGCGGACTGTATGAAGTCCAGCAGCGTCTCGAGGTCCGTCATCCTGCTGGTACTCAGAGAAAGCAGTTCGGCGTACACCTGAACACGAACACAATCGAAATCTCAATTACTCGTAAAAAAAGGGCTCTATTTCCAACAGGGTTTACACCCAATAACGCTACAAATAAATATCAGCTTCCGATTATTAATTACACTTTTGACAGAATAATATGAATAGATAGATAGATAGATTTTGTTTGATCATGTTATGTAACAAAATTACATTTATGACAAGTCCTAATCTAAAAAAATTTATAAAATTTATAAGTCTGTGGACGAAGGAAAACCTGCCCTTTGTGTGTTCTTGGATCTTGCCAAGGCTTTCGACACCGTTGATCACATACAGTTGTTGGAAGTCTTGGAGGATACAGGAATACGTGGCACGTCATTGAATCTACTCAGAAGCTATTTATCGGATCGAAAACAGATAGTGAGAATCAATGGTGAATTGAGTAATTCTCAAAAGCTAGAAATAGGAGTTCCTCAAGGCACAGTACTTGGACCAACACTTTTCACACTTTACATCAATAACGTATTTTCAGTGCAATCAACAGGAGAAATCATCAGTTTTGCCGATGACACGGCTTTATTTTATAAGGCTGAGTCATGGGCAGAATTGAAGAATAAAGTTGAAATTGATATCAATGGAATAATTGACTGGTTCAACTATAAACACTTGACAATAAATTTTGACAAAACATTTTTCTTACCCTGTACCAGCTATGCCGTACATCTACCAAAATTTAAATCAATTGATATAACCTATAACAACAAAAGTGTCAAACTACAAGGAAGAACTGATTTGAAGTATTTGGATAACAGTGGATTCTCATTTACGTTGGGATTAACACATTGATAATGTAACAAATATTCTCAGGCGGCTATTGTATAAATTCAAGTACCTGACACGACTAATTGACATTAACCACCTGAAGGTTCTATACTATGCAATAGTTGAAAGTCGTATTCAGTACGCCATACTGTCTTGGGGAGCTACAACAAGGAATTACTTGAAAAAACTGGAGTTATACAAGAGAATTTTGAAAATGATTTATAAGAAGAAGGTGAGTTATTCATCAAAATTGGTATTTGAAAAATTAAAAATACTTGATATACGGAAATTATATGTATATACAACTTTAATCTATACATATAATAATAAAAATATTCAAGTTTTACCAATGAAATTCGCTGTTAATATACAAAAACGTCAATACACAAGTGTCAAAGATCACCAGATTTTTCAGCTGATAATATCATAGGATGAAAATGAAATCAAGGGTGGGAATTCTTATTTCGATTTACCTTTTGCAGTTGGCCCAGGTGCTGATTGTAGAGAGCCAGTTCTTCGCCGGAGAAGTATTGGCGCGCCTTGACGCAACTCTCCACTTTAGAGTGGAACTGGTCGATGTGCTTGTGCTCGCGATGGTGGAGGTCCCTTTCGTTCTGCACGGATGACAAATCGGTGCCGTAGTCTGCCTTCTTCAATTGTTTCTGAAAGTACCGGTCAGTCAATGGAATTCTTTGCCAAAAGAAGCATTTAAACTACTCAACACTAATTTCGTCGCACACCAAAATGTCGCCCCTGTTATAATGTGAATAACTTTTTTCAGTTTAGAACAATTTGAATTTGGTTCACACTGTTCGATAGCCCAGTCCTTCAGCTATAATCTGGTACTTCATTGAAACATAAGGATATTCACATAAAATCTCTACATAGTGTTTTCCGACACTGTGCAAAATTTCGGAATATTCAAAAGGCTCTCAAATGGTGAAAAATTTTTTTTTATCAACTTCGACAACAGAGGCATGAAGATGATCTCATTACCTCGAGATATTTCGCGAATCAACTTCCTATCTCTCTTATTTACAGAGTGATCTCAAAAAATCAACTTTTTGGATTTGCAGCCATAACTTTTTTCCACGTCAACCGATTTTGGAAATCTTAGGCTCATTTTGGAGGTTAAACTTCAGATGAAGAGATCTGAATATCAGAATTGACTTGAGATGGCTATCAAAGATCTAGAGTTTTCTTGAAAGTGACTCAAATCTGGAACGCCCTCCGAATCTCGGTTGGGAGGAGAATTGAATGAAAATCAACTTGTTCTCGGAAAAACAATTCATTCTGGATGCGTCCATATTTTTCTCGCTCTCAGTAGTCAAGAATGTGTGTGAGAAAACACAATTGAAACATGTTCTTGCAAAAACATCAGACCATTTCTCCTCTGTAATGCATGGCCCGTAACCAACGTTACAAGAATCACAGTGAGTGACTGATAAGTCAGGTTAGACGTCGTTTTCGAATCATAAACAGATTTTGATAGTTTCGATGCCGCATCTAACGCCCGACCAGTTAGAACTGATTCCACAAATGAGGGAACAAGGGTTATCTTCCCTCCAAATCGCGGATCTGCTAAACACGACAGTCCGATCCATTCAAAGGGCTTATCTCCGAGCTAATGCTGGGAATATTTGTGTTTTTACAATAAATAAACGTTGTTCGCTTGAATACTTCTCCATATTCTTAAATCGCATGTTATGTACGTGACAACTGTTAAAAAAATCACTTTATTAAAAAAAATCAAAACCATTTATGATGAGCCTCAGCTGGTCGGGTTTGTCAGTTACTCATTGTGATTCTTGTAACGTTGGTTACGACAGGTCATGCATTACAGAGGAGAAATGATCTAATGTTTTTGCAAGAACATGTTTCAATTGTTTTTTCTCACGCACAATTCTTGACTACTAAGAGCGAGGAAAATATGGACGCATCCAGAATGAATTATTTTTCCGAGAACAAGTTGATTTTCATTCAATTCTCCCCCCAACCGAGATTCGACGGGCGTTCCAGATTTGGGTCACTATCAAGAAAACTCCAGATCTTTGATAGCCATCTTAAGTCAATTCTGATATTCAGATCTCTTCATCTGAAGTTTTATCTTCAAAATGAGCCTAAGATTTCCAAAATCGATTGACGTGGAAAAAAGTTATGGCTGCAAAACCAAAAAGTTGATTTTTTGAGATCACTCTGTGAATAAGGGAGATAGGAAGTTGATTCGCGAAATATCTCGAGGTAATGAGATCATCTTCATGCCTCTGTTGTCAAAGTTGAGAAAATTTTTTTTTTCACTATTTGAGAGCCTTTTGAATATTCCGAAATTTTGCACAGTGTCGGAAAACACCATGTAGAGATTTTATGTGAATACCCTCATGTTTCAATGAAGTACGAGATTATAGCTGAAGGACTGGGCTATCGAACAGTGTGAACCAAATTCAAATTGTTCTAAACTGAAAAAAGTTATTCACATTATAACAGGGGCGACATTTTGGTGTGCGACGAAATTAGTGTTGAGTAGTTTATATAATGATAAAGATGGAAAGCCCTAATTTCGAGTGACATTGGAAGATAAATAAACTCCACCGCCACGTGTGAGAGTCGAACTCACAACCTCTGGGTTACATGCCCAACGCTCTGCCAATTGAGCTAACGAGTCTTCCGTCGATCAATCGGCAGGGACGTTGAATTCTCATCACACCAGGCGGCAGAATCCTTCCAATTCTCGAAGTCACTCGAAATCATGGACTATACGAAGCATCACTGGCAGGATGGTACTATACAGTCTCCATATTTCCCCGTTCGACCTCTGGCATTGTATTTTCTTGTATACGGAAATGTCCGAAGGCCATCATACATAGGAGTGAATTCATAATTGTTGTCGGTTACTCAACCGAAAAGATATACATATAATAATAAAGATGGAAAGCCCTAATTTCAAGTGACGTATACCAAAAATATTTTCAAATTTTGAATAAATGAATATACCATGCCCAATTCAACATGGCTCTTCAATTGTGGTAAAAATAGATGTATCAATTATAACTTGGCAATGCCGCAACCAATTTCAATTATTTTACAGCGATGTGAAGGCTAACATCGGCGGAATAAATTCCGAATAAACAATACTGGGTATTCAATTTACCAAGACTCGTCTCCGAGTCGTCCCGCTTTTATAAAACACCCAGTAATATTGAAAATATTTTTGAAATAAGCAACTTCAATAACTGAAAGAGATTTTTCCTCAAAGTTTTTCTCTATGGGTTATGGCTTTCGAGATATCGAAGAATTACGCACTAAATGGATACACTGTAATTTTTTTATCGCTTGGAGCGCACGAAAGAAAATCCCTATAAGGTTCAAAGAACATCGTGCGTTCCTAGGGAGGATAGGGGCAGGAGGTAGGTATTGGAATTTTTTTTGAACTCCTGGAGATTATATTTTGTTGGGAATACTTCCTCAGGCAATGAATTCCAGAGCCTAGCCGTTCTATGGATGAAGGAGTTTTGATAAAGTGCTGTTCGACATCTTTCGAGGTTGATTTCGATATGTCCAACGCGACAGCTAGAGATTCCCCGTGTTTTTCTAATGAAGCTTGCCATAAATGGGTGACGTAGGCTAGTAGATCTCCAGTAGATCTTCGGTGGCGAAAGCCGTATTGTCTATCATGATGATTCCTGAGCTCTCCAGATATTTGGTGAACTCAATATTGATGGCTTTCTCCACCACTCTGGAGATTACTGATAACAGGGCAATGGACCTGTAGTTGTTGGGCAGGTTCTTGTTCCCTTTTTTGGGGATTGGTTGCACTCTAGCTGTCTTCCAGCATGATGGAAATATACCCGACCTGTACGAGACGGTAAATAACTTGCAGGGAATCGGTTTCAATTCTGGTGCACATTTTCTGAGGATAATGGGTGGAATTCCATCAGGAACGTTTGCCTTATTCGTTCTGAGGCCAAGCAAAATTCGTCTGATAGTGCGTTGACAGAAGACGATTTCGGGCATTCGACTCTCAAGGAATGGAATGTTTGGCGGCACTTTTTCTTGGGAATCTAAAGTAGAGTTTGCTGCGTACATCTCTGCAAAAATATTTGCTTTCTCCTGCGATGTTGTTGCTAATGTGCCGTCGGATTTGGACAGTGGTGGAAATGAACTATTAGTGAAATGTCTTCCGACCGCTTTAGCAAGGGACCAAAACGAACGGGAGCCATTGGGACAATCTATGAGTTTAGATCTTATCTTGGCATTGTATATTTCTTTCGAAGCATCTATTGTTTGGCTGCAGATATTCCTGGCATCAAAGTTTTCTGCTCTAGTCGCGAGGTTAGGGTTTTTGCGCCAGCGATGGTAGGCTGTTTGTTTCAAGGCAACAGTTCTAGAACAGTTTTTGTTGAACCTGGGATTCGATGGTGATGATCTTTTCGAAGAATGAGGTATGAATGTGTCCATTCCGAGCATGATGATCTCGGATTTTTCCGCAGCACACTGTAAGGGTCCTCAGAGTCAAAGCATACTATGCCAAGGAAACTCGGAGAAAAACATGCGGAGACCGTCCCAATCTCCTGAATTGTAATGCCATATAAGACGTGGGGGTGCCGGAGCAGTTGATGGAATGAAAAATGGGCAGGTTGTGGATGAAAATTCGCTCCTTCACCAATTTAGAATAAATTCCTAATATTCCGCGTAATTTTTCTGCCCGGCCTGCTTTTCGCGATATTTTTTCTTGCTGACGCGGACGTCTTGCTGGCTTCACACCGGTATACTCACCAACTTATTTTTGCACCACTCGATGTGCTCCTGCAACGATCTGAAATGCGGATTGGTTTCGACGTTCCTGGTCTCCTGGACCGTCCGGATGTGCTTGGTGACAGTCCTCTCCTCCACCGGGAAACTCATGTTGGACAGCGGCCCCACGATCTTGTTGTGCAACAGGTGCCGCAGGTGCACCCACCTGTAAGAATGCCATGTCAAAGCACGAATTCGTTTCGCCCGAACATATTTGCGATTCCTGAAGACCAATCAGAGCGATTTGGGCTATGGCGGTGAATTCAAATAACTGACTGGTGGTAAATTCGAATAACGAATATTTTCACATTACATAAGTATACTAGCTGACCCAGCAAACGTTGTTTTGCCATAACATTATTTCTAGAAAAAATGTTTCTACATGCATATTTATCAAAGAACTTTCATCATTTTATTTATACTTCTTTTTAGTTCGGCTATCCATGAAAACGGGATTCTTTAGTTTTTCAAACTATTCTACTTATTCTCTACTTCTTTTTAGTTTGGCTATCCATAAAAACGTGTTTCATTAGTTTTTCGAACTACTATTTATTACAATAGCTGATGCTGATACCTGGCACACGTTGTTTTTTGTTAGTTAAATGTTCATCAACACACTTTTATTATTTTGTTCTGAACTCCTTTTTAGTTTGGATATCCATGAAATCGTGTTCCATCAGTATTTCAAACTACTATTTTTATTTTCTACTTCTTTTTAGTTCGACAATCTATCTCGACCTCGAAAACCCCCAGATACCAATTTTGAATGGAATCTGACCATAATGACAAAACTCGTCCGCCATATTGGATCCGCCATATTGGATCCGCCATATTGGATCCGCTATATTGAATTTCCGAAATTTGACGAAATAATCATAATCTCCGACCCCGAAAACCCCCAAATACCAATTTTTATTGTAATCGGATAACAATACTCGTCCGCCATATTGGATCCACCATCTTGAATTTTCGATTTAAAAAATAGATTACGACCGATTCTCATACCTACCGAATACGCACAAAAAATTTCCTACGCATCGGTCGAGCCGTTTCGACCACTAACAACGTGACCATGACAGGAGAATTTTATATATTAGAAGATACATAAGTAATTTTTCCTCGAATCTAACCATACAAACCAGGTTAACTTTATGATGACGTCACGGTAACCTTATTATGACGTCACGGTTTACTTTTGAAGCTTGACAGATATTAGTTTATTAGCTGTTTCTGTTTATTGTTTGGTTCTAGTAGTAATACTGATATATTGAAGAGGCAATTCATCATCTGTGAAACAAATATATCAAAGATAGTAACTAGGTACTAACCTACTACAAATCCAAGAAAATTTGAACAATTTGCTGCGTACACATATTTACAATGAATCAAATATTTATTTTCATCAATATGATGAGATCTTTCAGTGAAAAATACTTCATATGAATCCATAATCATATCTTTAAGCAGTATAATTATTTTTTCTCAACAATTATATAACGTCAGATTATAACAACAACAAGAGCCCAATCCAGTGGCCAATCAAAAGCCTTAACTACTCCATCAACTACCTCAGTGAGCTGGTTTGAATTGTTGGTTAACTAAAGTGCTCAAAGAAACAAGTGGACCACTGAATTTTTTGACAATTTTCAAACTGCCATAACTTTTGAAAAAATGAATGGATTTTCAATCGGAATGCAGTGCTTGGAAGATGCTGTCTTCCTGTTCAAGATTCACTGTTCAAAACTCGTTGAAGTTTTTCTGCCATTATACACCAAGTGCTCGAAAAAAGTATTACAAAAATGAAAATGTTCAAACGCTTCCGTATTTCAGGGAAATTTTTTTATTTTTCTACAAATCGTTTTTTCTGAACGTTCAAGCCAATATCTCGAAACGGTTTTGGAATTTTCCATATTCCTCATACAGGATGTTGAAAATCGATTTTTTTTCATTTTTTGGTTTTTATCGCATTATTTCCGATTTTGAAATTATGCATGCCACATTCGGAGCATTTTGCTACGCATATTACGATGGAACATCATGGAGAATGGATTCACATTGCTTTGAAGTCATCGACAATCTCAACAGAAGAAAAATTAATTTTTTTTGAGAAATGTTCAGAATTTGGCGAGATCGTGTGTTCAGTTTGATGCTGCCATAACCATATGCTATGCTAAACACAATTCCTTCATTTGGGTCGATTCCTCTGCTTAATATCTCGAATCAATTTTGTGATTTTTCAGATAAGTCAATCCAAGGGGGCGCAAGGGGGCCCTTTTGGATTTCCCTGATCAATTCAAACGATAACGAAGCTGCAATGGTTTTAAGATATTCCTGAGCTGGCATGAAGTCAAGAAACCTCTTCATTACAAGTTTTTTCATCGCATAATCGAAAATTGTTCGAAAAAGTCGATTTTATGTAATCAACACCCATTCACGCAATTAATACTACTGCAACACCCAATATAATACCTCCTGTCGAACCTTTGACAACTGTCATCATCCTACAACAATATCTTTGCTGGTATTATTGTGCTCGAAAATTATGCCGCGATTGTCTCGGAATGAACTCGAAAATGCTCTTAGACTTATTGAGAATGGTTTATCAATAAGAGCTACAGCCCAAATGTATGGAGTCTCCCACAGTGTTTTGGTGAGAGCGAAAAGTCGATTACAAGAGACCGGCATTGTGAGTTATAGGTTTGGAGGTGGCAGACCTCGAAAGCTCAGCAATGCTCAAAGCAGATATGTGCAAGTTCTCGCTAGAAGAAACCCCAGGAGAAATGCATCCTTGTTGAATGAAGACCTTCGACAAGCTGCAGGTTTGAACGTCAGTTCTCAAACACTTCGGAACACACTTCACAGAAGAAACCTTCGTGCTAGAAGGCAGGAGAGCTGTCCGTTTCTAACAGCACATCATAGAACGGCAAGACTGGAATGGGCAAGACAACATTTGGAATGGGATATGGAATGGCGGCATTGTTTATTCACGGACGAATGTAGGGTGACAAAGCATCAATCTGACGGCAGGATGTTGGTTTGGCGTCAACCAAACGACAGACATGTGGAGTTGAATATGTGTGCGAAAGTTGCTTTTGGTGGAGGTGGGCTAACAATTTGGGGCGGTGTTTCATGGCACGGAAAAACAGATCTTGTCATCTTGAGGAGGACTATGAATGCAAGGGTTTATATCGAGCAATGTCTTGGCCCTATACTTCTGCCAGAAGCTATTGCTCGAGGAAACGAATTCGTCTTCATAGACGATAATGCTCGTCCACATAGGGCGGCAATCGTTCATGAATTTATCCAACAGCACGGCATCAATCATATGGAGTGGCCAGCTAATTCCCCAGACATGAACATAATAGAACATGTTTGGAGTCGATTAAAGCTCCGATTATCAGAAAGGCAACGAATTCCAGATGATTTGAATCATTTGGAAAACATAATTCGTGATGAATGGGCCAGAATTCCACAAGATTTCATTCGATCCTTGATAGAATCAATGCCTCGAAGATGTCAACATTTATTGAGTCGACGAGGTGGACCAACAAAATATTGAATATATTTATAATGATAATTATTGGGTACTTAATTTCAGAAATAAAAACTTGTTCAAGAAATAATGATTTTTGATGCACCCAAAGTTTAAAAGCGGATCTTTCTTTTGGTTGAATTTGAATATAAAGATATTGTTGTAGGATGATGACAGTTGTCAAAGGTTCGACATGAGGTATTATATTGGGTGTTGCAGTGGTATCAATTGCGTGAATGGGTGTTGATTACATAAAATTGACTTTTCGATTAATTTTCGACTATCCGATGAAAAAACTTGTTTTAAAGAGGTTTCTTGACTTCATGCCAGCTCAGGAATATCTTAAAACCATTGTATCTTCGTTATCGTTTGAATTGATCAGGAAAATCCAAAAGGGCCCCCTTACGCCCCCTTAGATTGACTTATCTGAAAAATCACAAAATCAATCCGAGATATTGAGCAGAGCAATCGACCCAAATGAAGGAATTGTGTTTAGCATAGCATATGGTTATGGCAGCACCAAACTGAACAGACGATTTCGCCAAATTCTGAACATTCCCAAAAAAAATGAATTTTTCTTCTGTTGAGATTGTCGATGACTTCAAAGCAATGTGAATCCATTCTCCATGATGTTTCATCGTCGTATGCGTAGCAAAATGCTTCGAATGTGGCATGCATGATTTTAAAATCGGAAATGATGCGATAAAAACCAAAAAATGAAAAAAAATCGATTTTCAACATCCTGTATGAGGAATATGAAAAATTCCAAAACCGTTTCGAGATATTGGCTTGAACGTTCAGAAAAAACGATTTGTAGAAAAATAAAAAAATTTCCTTGGAATACGGAAGCGTTTGAACTTTTTCATTTTTGTAATACTTTTTTCGAACACTTGGTGTATAATGGCAGAAAAACTTCGACGAGTTTTGAACAGTGAATCTTGAACAGAAAGACTGCATCTTCCGAACACTGCATTCCGATTGAAAATCCATTCATTTTTTGAAAAGTTATAGCAGTTTGAAAATTGTCAAAATTTCCAGTGGTCCACTTGTTTCTTTGAGCACTTTATTACGTCGTAATTAATATAAATGAGTAAGACTCAGGCTATAGTATACAATTTAATCATTTAATAGCAACTCGAACGTTTTCGACACTAGGCCATCATCAGGAGAGTATCTGAAAAGTGAATTTTTCTTTTACAGGTACAATATACAGTGCGTTCATGAAGTGTGGAAACGCTACATTATCTTACGATATAATTATTTTCAGAGGTAAAGCTCGGACAGGTCGATTTTGTATTTCAGTCTTCCATCTTTTTTTACAAAAAAATAATTTTTTCCCCCATCACCTTACAAGATATGACGTCATCGATATTTTTTTTAAATTGAAAGGGTATATTTTTATATCAAAAATTGAAAGCCCATATTTTTCTGAGTTCAACCATACCACATACGTCATATCTTACACTTCAAGTTACAGTATACTGAGTATAAAAGAAACCAGTGTTCATATTTCTCAACATTCATTTAATTATTCATTTTGCAATGGAAACCTGAGAATTACTCAGTAGTTAGTACGAGTATATTTGCCATACTTGAGTAGTAAGCTATGAAAACATCTGAAAGCCCTTAGCAATCAGACAATATGTTCTTAGTTACCATTGCATATGTCATTATTAAATTGATTTGTTGTGTAGCATATCGATTTATAAGTCTGCAATAATAACTTTCTGAAAAATATTACCCTAAAAGCTATTATTTGAAATAACGATGGGGCTGTCAGAAAAACAGAGAATAGAAGTTCTGATGATCTTAGGTTACGGCGATCGTAAAAGAAGTATGGCAGAAGTATGCGAAATCTTTAATGAAAAATATCCTAATCGAGAACCAATAAGCAAATCGACGGTAAGCAAATTATAACATAAATTTAATGAAATTGGCAATGTTAGGGATAAGCCTAAGAGTGGCAGACCTACCGTTGCCGAAGATACTCAATTGAATGTATTACTTTGAATTGAAGAAAATCCTCATTGTTCAATCACAACTTTATCTGAAAACAATGAGATATGTCGTGGTGCTGTGCATAAAATTCTAAGAGCAGCCAAATTACATCCATATAAAATTAAACTGATACATGAACTTAATGAAGACGACTTCGATAGGCGCATGGAGTTTTGTGAAATTATGCAAGAAGTATGTAATCAAAACGATGGGTTTGAATTTAATGTCTTATTTTCGGACGAATCAACTTTTTTTACAAACGGTACTGTGAATAATCAAAATTGTCGTTATTGGGCACCAGAAAATCCCAATTGGACGATGGAAGCTCATACCCAATATCCCCAAAAAGTCACTGTGTGGGCTGGGGTTCTTAGGAATACCATTGTAGGACCATATTTTTTTGACGGTACTGTGACGGGTGGAAATTATTCGGAAATGTTACAAACTTATGTAGTTCCATATTTAACTGAGACATTTCCAGATATCAATCAACCTGATCGAATAGTTTCTACTATTTGGTTCCATCAGGATGGAGCAGGTCCACATTATGCTCGAGTAGTTAGAGATTTTCTTAATGAAACGTTCCCCAATCGCTGGATTGGACGACGCGGACAGAATGAATGGCCTGCTAGGTCCCCAGATTTAACTCCCATGGACTGCTTCCTCTGGGGTTACTCAAAAAGTGAAGTGTACATGAACCGACCCCCCAGTTTGGAAGACCTTGAAGAGAGAATTCTAACTGAAATTTAACGAATTACACCAGATATGTTGTCAAACGTAACCCAAGAATTCACCAGACGTCTTGGATATTGTCAACTAACCCAAGGAGCTCAGTTCGAGCATTTGCTGTAGATTTGTTATTTGTTTATTTTCACTCCTTCTTATGATATTTTCATTTCAAATAAATAATTAAATGAATGTTGAGAAATATGAACACTGGTTTCTTTTATACTCAGTATACTGTAACTTGAAGTGTAAGATATGACGTATGTGGTATGGTTGAACTCAGAAAAATATGGGCTTTCAATTTTTGATATAAAAATATACCCTTTCAATTTAAAAAAAATATCGATGACGTCATATCTTGTAAGGTGGTGGGGGAAAACATTATTTTTTTGTAAAAAAAGATGGAAGACTGAAATACAAAATTGACCTGTCCGAGCTTTACCTCTGAAAATAATTATATCGTAAGATAATGGGGCGTTTCCACACTTTATGAACGCACTGTACATATATGTGAAAATGTGAGGTTAGAAATAATTTGATCATGTCAGAATAAAAACGTTGAATAGAACAAAAAATCACTGAATATTTATTCTTGCAGAAGATAAGCATTAAAAACAATGTAAATGTATTGAATAACATTGGTGATTTATCCAAAATATTAAAATGGCACAATAGTGAAGTGTTGTTTTCCTCTACTTCCGGGAAGAAAAGACATGAAACATTAATTAAATCAATTTTATGTATTTTCTTCCCGAAAACAGGTAGAACAGCACTTCACTAGTGTGCCATTTTAAAATTTTGGATAAATCCAAAAACACCTTATGAATCAAGCAATGTTGTTCAATACATTTACATTGTTTTTAATGCTTATGGTATGACAAGTGAGTTTTTGTTCTATTCAACGTTTTTATTCTGACATAATCAATTTTTTTTTAACCTCACATTTTTACATATATTGTACCTGTAATAGAAACATTCATTTTTCAGATACTCTCCTGATGATGGCATAGTGCCAAAAACGTTCGAGTTGCTATTAAATGATTAAATTGTATAGCCTAAGTCTTACTCATTAATATTAATTATTATACTAAGTATACACAACCATTTCTCTAACCTATAACGTCGTAGTTTGAAATACACTACGAGGAAAATTGATTGGTTAACTTATTGTTGACCCGGTTTGTGTGGTTAACTTCGAGGAAAAATGGCTACAATGTATTTGTGTCATGGTTAGTTAGTGGTTGATATTTATTATCCAACTAGTGTATTAATGAGGGCGATTAATGATCGAGATATTTCACTGATGTTCAGGATGTTGTTGCCCATAAAAAATATCTGCCTTTTTCAGACTACCAACTACACTTGATAGGCATCCTGCATCGATAAATGGATTGAGCCTTAATAATTTAGATGATGCTAGCATTTTTTGATTGACCGAGTGCAGGAATTTCAGAACATTGCGATTGTCCGTTTCAAATTCATTCGCCGCAAGTGTCCTCTTGTTATGTATTTTGCCCAATGTATTTGTCCTGAATCCATACAGTAAGCGATAACCCTCAATGAGATTCATCAAATATTTCGAAAGGCATATTTGACAAAAATATTCGTTCAACGATTTTTTTTGTCTGGAATGTCAAGCAATAAATGATTTTGGATCTGGCCAAATATATTGATCCGTTTCAAGCCAACTCGGAACTTTCCACCAGTGGTTAAATTTTTTTATGTCATTCTGGGTTCGATGGTTTGTTGAATTTTCTTGATCCGGCTCGAAGGACCAATATGTTCGATGCTATTGAATTAATTTATCATTATTTCAACAAATATCAACCCTCTTCTGATGACAACATGTTGCCATGTTACAATTCCTCTCATAAAACATACATGGTGATGCAACTACTCTAAATATAGATAACATTTGAATATAAATCATATAGGGTGATCGAACATATACCATCAGCCGGTTGGTTTATCTCTAGATTTATGCATTCATGTTATGTCATTGCTGTCTTAGAGTAATACGCCCATTTAAATCGAATTGAATGACGTAACAGCTCACCTGTCGTGCAGCTTAAGCACGCGCTTGTCGAGCTCGCCCGCCTGCGGGTACCTTCCCGCCCTCAGAACGCCTACGTCCGCCCTCAGCGACTGGACGTTGCCCTCAGCGAGAGCCAAATCCCGGTCGATCTGGTCGGCCATTTTCTTCGCCTCCAGTGGGTGGAGGCGGTCGAGGCGGCGCGACTCGCCTTCGATCGCCTGCTCGATGGTATCCAGGTTCGCGTCGGTCTGCTTGATTTCCCTGCAAAGGATAAACGAGCGTTTTCAGTTTTTTTTTTTTCCTTTTATGTTCTGGTCCCCACGAAAAGGGTTATCCTGTAATGTTCAGAGAACATCGTGAGAACCAAGGGATATAAGGTAGGAAATGGTGTTCTTCTTAAATTTCTGGAGGTTATATGCCTCGGGGAACACCTCCCTTGGCAATGTGTTCCAGAGCCTCGCTGTTCGTTGGATGAACGAGTCTTTGGAAAGAGATGTTCTGCAGGTCTCCAAAGTGACCACGAAGGGGTGCGAAGCCTCAACTCGACGGGTTGATCTCGCGGGGACTGCCAAAGGAGGTACAATTGTTGATAATTCAGAAGAGCATCGTCCATGAAAATATCTATAAACTAGAGCCAGATCGCCAACTTTTCTACTGTGTTCCAGAAAAGTGAGTGTTTGTGAGTGAGGCATCACCCACGAGACGAATTGCCGTTTTTTGGACAGAATCCAACAGTTTCAGGGTATGTTTGGGTGCCGCACTCCAAATATGGGAACAGTATTCCAGGACAGGTCGAATCTGTGCCTTATAGATCATAAGCAGCTGACTGGAAGTGAAATAGCTCCTGACCCGAAACAGAAAACCAAGTTTTTGGGATGCACTTTTAGCAATTGATCTCACGTGATTTTCCCAAGAAAGGTTATTGCTGATAGTAATACCAAGCATCGGAATGGATGTCTTCAAAGGTATGATTGCTCCTGACATGCTTATGTTCGGCACAGTAAGATCGGCTTTTCTAGAGAAAAGGCATGCGTGTGTTTTGTTTGCATTGATATCTACCAAGTTATTGGATTCCCACTCGAGAATTGTTGCCAAGTCCATATTTATGTTGTCAACATTTCTTCCTCGTTCGTTTCTGGTTTCCCTGGCTGGTATTGGAGCCCTCGAAAAGAAGGCGGTATGGAGGGTAATATCATCCGCGAAGCTGTGTACTGGACATGAAGTTGCTTCCAACAAATCGTTGATATGGAGTAGAAATACTGTTGGTGCTGGAATTGATCCTTGCGGAACACCAGCATTTATGGTAAGAGAGTCAGATGAAACTCCGTCGACCACTACATGGAGACACCTGTTTGAGAGAAAACTAGCTAGCAGAGAACATAGTTGGGAAGGCAAGCGATAAGATGGAACTTGGCGAGGAGGCCGTGGTGCCAGACTCGATCGAATGCTTTGGAGATATCAAGTGCCACGGCTTATTAGTTTTCACCATATTTTTCAATAGATTGCTGCCATATAATATATAAGCGAGCAGGTCACCAGTTGATCTCTTATGACGGAAGCCATATTGCCTATCGTTGATGATACCTGAATGTTCCAGGTTTTCTAGCGATAGAAATTAAGCGTATCGGAGTTTTTGAAAGCTGTCAAATCGGTCTCTTCACTTGTTTCATCGGTTCACGTGATATTAAAATCATTGGAAAAGACGATAACAACCAGAAGAGAAAAATCAAGGAATCTGCTTGCATTCTTCTGAACGGAGACAATAGCATTGCTTCTTGTTCAGTTGATATAGACAGAACATGGTATTCACTACTAAAATCTGAACATGAAATTGGTAAATTCAAGATTAATTAATGAAAACATCCTGTAACTCCTTTGATTGCCAACGTCACCAATTGTCATTGAAAACTGAAAAGCTTCAAGACATATTATACGACTTCGCAATTGAAAAAATCTCTTCATGTTGAAAACGGGAGCAGAATCGGTCCCGAAACGTCCAAAGATAAGTGAAAATTTGATATTTTTTCTATATACCTTTATTTCTCTTCTCCAAAAATTTTTCAATACAAATTGTCACTGACAAGCTAGTGAATTTTTCTTTTAGGCTCTCTGATTCTTTAAACGCAGTGACATTTTGGGGTAAATCATCTGATTTGTCCTTACTACACGTATATTGAAATAATATTCATATTTCTATTTTGTAGAAACGAGGAGAGAAAATCCCAAAAAATTTGGAATAATGAAGTAACTTTGTTATCCGTTAGTAATGAGACAAAAATGCGTATAGATTAGAATCTTCATGAAATTTCACGTAAGGTTAGATGGTTTTTAATGGCGATTTAGGAATTCTTTATTTTTTCGGAATCCTCATGACATTTTATGTTAGGTTAGATAGTTCTTGATAGCGAATTCGGCAAATTTTTATTATTGGTATGGCTAGTAGTAACTTTGTTATCCGTCAGTTCTGGCTAGCAGTTACTTCTTTATTCGTTAGTTCTAAGACAAAAATGTGTATAGATTAGAATCTTCATGAAATTTCACGTAAGGTTAGATGGTTTTTAATGGCGATTTAGGAATTCTTTATTTTTGGTCCGGCCAGCAGTAACTTCGTTAACCGTTTGTTCTAATACAAAAATGTGTATAGATTCGGAATCCTCGTGAGATTTTACATTATGTTGGACGATTTTCAACGGCGAATTCGATTTTTTCCATTTTCGGCACGGCTAGCAGCAACTTCGTGATGACAAATATGTGTATCGATTCGGAATCCTCGTGACATTATACGTAAGGTTAGATAGTTTTTAATGGCGAATTCAGCATTTTCTATTTTCTGTAACTTCCTTATCCGTTAGTTCTAGGGCAAAAATATGTATAGATTCGGAATCCCCATGACATTTTACGTTATGTTAGACAGTTTTTAGTGGCAAATACGGCATTTTTTTTCAATTTCAACGCGGCAAGCTGTAACTTCCTTATCTGTTTTTCCTAATACAAAAATATGTAGAGATTCAACCTTATGAAATTTTACGTTTTGTTAGATAGTTTTCAATGGCGAATTTGGCAACTGTTATTTTCGGTACGGCTAGCAGTACCTTTGTTATTCTTTAGTCCAAAGACAACAATATGCATAGATTCGGAATCCACATGAAATTTTACGTTAGGTTAGATAGTTTTCAACGGAAAATTTGGCAATTTTCATCTTTTTTTATCCGTTAGTTCTAAGACAAAAATGTGTATAGATTTATGAAGTTATGAAGCGAAAACAACTAGCAAGTTAGATTGAATAAGAACTTCAGAGCCGTCTAGCGCCTAAACTAAGCAAATTTTCACTGAGGTAAGTTTGCTGTATTGAATAGTTTTCGTCTGAGGAAAATGTAACAGTTTTTTGTAAAGATCTTTCAGAGACTCCCTGCTTACGGGGTATTATTGAAATGAGTATACAGGGTAGGTCACGGTGGATGGCCTTTTAGAAGTATCTGGAGAACGAAAAGACAGAGAACATTCTGAAAATTGGGATGCTTTGATAATTGGACATCCTCTATTCGTCTAAAATGTTTTCATCGATACAGTGTTGCCACTTCTATCAGAAACAACTAGCAACTTTGTTATTTCGAATAGAGTATTTTATTGCATTTTTTGATTCTTCCTGAGGAGCTGATTTCATCAATGTATCACACTTGGGGTCTAGCAGAAATGATTACAGAGATATAGGGTATTGAAAATCTAGATTTTTCAATTTTACGATTTTTTATGTTGAAACCATTCATTATTGATCAAAACAGCTTACATGTCTTTATCTTAACTTTTGATTCACTATCTACTGGAATTTAGAGATTCTGAAATCTGATCACCCTCTATCTGTTCCAATTAAAGGTCAGTAGATAGTGAATCGAAAGTTAAGATAGGGAGGGACATGTAAACCATTTTGATCGATAATGAATAGTTTCGACACAAAAAAAAACCAAAATTGAAAAATCTCGATTTTGAACTCTCTATATCTCTGTAATCATTCCTGCTACACCCCAAGTGGGATATATTGATAAAATCAGATCTTTAGGAAGAATCTAAAAATGCAATGAAGTACAGGGTGCTCCATTTTAAATAACGAAAGTTGCTAGTTGTTTCTGATAGAAGTGGCAACACTGTATCGATGAAAACATTTTAGACGAATAGGGAATGTTCAATTATCAAGGCATCCCAATTTTCAGAATGTTCTGACTTTTCGTTCTCCAGATACTTCTAATAGGCCATCCACCAAGACCCACCCTGTATATATTCAGCACATCAATACAATACAGTCTAACTAATATTCCCATCTCATCAGACTTTTTCTAATTCTTCTTACGAGAAATGTCATCTCGAAAATTGAAAAAAAAATCGAATACGCCATTTTAAAACAATTTATATGATTGAACTTCGCGTGAATGTGCCTTCCGCATAGAAATTCATATAGAGGTTACGTCGGAATTGCCACAGTGTAGAACTCTGGGTGAAAAATGGGGCCTCACCCCACATTTCATCACTATATTCATTTTATTGGTACCATTCGATAGTATACGTCAAACATTCGTAGAGTTCGAAATTAGTGCATTTATTTCAATGTCACCCTGTATATCGGTGGCGACAAATCCACCCACCTGTGAACCTTCTCGGCCAGCCTTTGCATCTTTTCCAACCGCTTGATCTCCTCGGCTATGTGCCTGTCTCTGTCCTGGTGCGCCGCCATCAGCTTCTGCCACGCGCGATCAATGTTGTCCCAGTGCAGCTCCGGCTCCACCTCGACTTCGCCCACGCTCTCGAAGTACCGCTCGAGGTCCTTGAACAGCTGCGCGCAGTAGTTCTTGTCCCGTTGCCGGGGCGGGACTTCGTCGGTGCGGAAACGGGACGATTCGGCGGCCAGTTTTTTCATTTCGATCAGGGTGGCGGGGAAGGAGCGGTCCTGCATAAGCGAGTACTTTTCCCTAGAGAAAAACCGAATTTTAATGTTTTCGTAAATTTGGTCCTTCGAGCCGGATTGATAGTTATCCCCCCAAAGGTGATCCTGAACATCGCCTATATCAATAAATATTGGTCAAAAAGTCTGGAAGGAGATTTTGTGGATTATTTGTAGGAAATAAGAAAAGGATAACTGAATTTGGTCATTCGAGCCGGATTAATAGTTATTCCCACGAAAGTAATCCTCAACAATGTGGTCCTTCGAGCAGGATTGAGAGTTATTCCCCAAACGTAATTCTCGACATTGTGGTCCTTCGAGCCGGATTAATAGTTATTCCCCAAAAGTAATCCTAATCCTCAACAGCGATGTGCGCGAGAGTGAATTCATTTCTTGTTTATCAGTCGACGAAGAAATGGATATCAGAAGTTCACTCAAGAACATCTTCGTGAGATCAAAGAGAGAAGAATCACAGCAGTAATTGATTTTCGTGCTGGATCATAAAGGAACGAAGGTCCTTGAACAGCTGCGCGCAGTAGTTTTTGTCGCGTCGCCGGGGCGGGATGTTGTCGGTGCGGAAACGGGGCGAATCGGCAGCCAGTTCTTTCATTTCAATCAGGGTGGTGGGGAAGGAGGGGTCCTGCATCAGCGAGTTCTTTTCCCTAGAGAAAAACCGATAAAATTTTAATGTTTTCGTAAATTTGATCCTTCGTACCGGATTAATAGTTATTCCCCCGAAAGTAATCCTCAACAATGTGGTCTTTCGAGCAGGATTGAGAGTTATTCCCCAAACGTAATTCTCGACATTGTGGTCCTTCGAGCCGGATTAATAGTTATTCCCCCAAAAGTAATCCTAATCCTCAACAGCGATGTGCGCGAGAGTGAATTCATTTCTTGTTTATCAGTCGACGAAGAAATGGATATCAGAAGTTCACTCAAGAACATCTTCGTGAGATCAAAGAGAGAAGAATCACAGCAGTAATTGGTTTTCGTGCTGGATATTAAAGGAACGAAGGTCCTTGAACAGCTGCGCGCAGTAGTTTTTGTCGCGTCGCCGGGGCGGGATTTTGTCGGTGCGGAAACGGGGCGATTCGGCAGCCAGTTCTTTCATTTCAATCAGGGTGGCGGGGAAGGAGGGGTCCTGCATCAGCGAGTTCTTTTCCCTAGAGAAAAACCGATAAAATTTTAATGTTTTCGTAAATTTGGTCCTTCGTACCGGATTAATAGTTATTCCCCCGAATGTAATCCTCAACATTGTGGTCCTTCGAGCAGGATTAAGAGCTATTCCCGAAAAGTAATTCTGGACATTGTGGTCCTTCGAGCCGGATTATTAGTTATTCCCCCAAAAGTAATCCTAATCCTCAACAGCGATGTGCGCGAGAGTGAATTCATTTCTTGTTTATCAGTCGACGAAGAAATGGATATCAGAAGTTCACTCAAGAACATCTTCGTGAGATCAAAGAGAGGAGAATCCCAACAGTAATTGGTTTTGTGCTGGATATAAAGAGGAACGAAGATCCTTGAACAGCTGCGCGCAGTAGTTTTTGTCGCGTCGCCAGGGAGGGATTTCGTCGGTGCGGAAACGGGACGATTGGGCAACCAGTTTCTTCATTTCGATCAGAATCGCATGGAATGAGCGGTCCTGCACCAGCAAGACACATCGATTCAAGTTAACTATTTTACTAGCGAGTTGGGAACATGTTGGAAATGAGTTACCTGACCAGAGCGATAATACTAGCGAAGCAACGTTTGAGCAGAAGTGATTTTTCCGACCGGCGATTGTTGCTGCATATTTGAATAAAAAATACATTGTATATTTTTTATTGTGAAGTTTGTTGTCATGTCATCATGTCATTTTATGTCAATCCTATTGCTATAGGGAAAAATAATAGAGCAGAGATTCAATGTATAGTTCAAAAAAAGTCAGAAAGTCAATTTTGTGGATTATTTGTAGAAAGTTGGAGAAGGGAATTTATCGTAAATTTGGTCTCTCGAGCCGGATTCATAGTTATTCTCCCAAAGGTAATCCTCAACATTGTGGTCCTTCGAGCCGAATTAATAGTTATTCTCCCGAAGGTAATCTTCAACATTGTAGTCCTTCGAGTCGGATTAATAGTTATTTTCCCAAACGTCATCCTACACATTGTGGTCCTTCGAGCCGGATTTCTTTAACAGCGATGTGTGCGAGAGTAAATTCATGTCTTTGTTATCGGTCGACGTAAGTATGGAGACAAATAAATGATACGTACCTGATCCACATGTGGAGCGAGGAGGCGATCTCGCGGTACTCCTGCACGCGTTGCTGGGCGGCCGAGTCAAACAACGGGTGGATGGCGGGTGGTTCTGGAAAGACCTCGTGCAACGACGAGATATAAGTGATGAGGGACTTCTCGTCCGGGTTGTGAGTGTCCACATCTGTAAAGGATAGAAAATTGTTAATGTTTAGGAGATTTCAGATTACATCTGTCGAACTTTTACGTTTATGATTAACAGGTTATGCTTTTTTCGCAATCTTTCATGGTTTTTTCTGCAAGAGCGACGCTGTTTTCGCGGATTTTCATGTTTATGGATGCAAATGTGATTCTATTTACACGTTTCTCACGGTTATGATTTATGTTCATGTGACGAAATTTTGAATTTTTTGTAAGTTTCTAATTTTTTTAGAGGTTTTCACGCTCATAACGCGAGCCTGGCGCTTTTATCACTTTTTTTCATATTCATGACACTAGAGTGTCAATTTTCTTACGGTTTCTCACTTTTAGGACACATAAAAGGTGTTTTTTTCACGTTTTCAACCATAGCGTGGTGGAGATAGGGGTCGGTGGTCTGAGACATACATGGGTGCACCATTGAACGCAATTTCCGGATCCAGCAGCCTGGTGACTCCGTATAAATTTTAGGTAAGGCACAAGATATCGAGATGCGGTTTTCGCGAGCTTATTTAGGCATCATTTAGCATCTCTTTCATGACAAAAAAATCATATCAATGTATTTGATTTTTTTGAGAGAATCAACCAGTTCTGTCGGATAGTCGAAAGAATCCCTCTAGCGGCGTCATGTGACACTAATAAAACTTCATATATCATAATATTTGTAACCTCAGAATAGCTCTTTTCAAATAGCCCAAGTTTATTCGAATCGGCTCAGCCGTATCGAAGATACAGGGTGTGTTTCACGGATGCCTTCGAATACCCCTCACCACTTTATTTTTGGAGATACAACAAACATTCTCGAACAAAAAAGGTTCAGATAATCCTCGACTTGAAGATCATGTATTTTTTGTTAGTTTCATATAATGGAATTCACAAAAACATCACTTTTTGAGATGCAAGATTGCAGTTAAGCTACCTAGCGGCCATTTCAGAAATTTAAAAATATTTTCCAGGTTTTTCTGTTGGCCGTTTTAGTGATAACTATTTGCCGCAAGCCTCTACGAGGCACAGTTTCCCGGATACAGTGCCTCATATTGTTAGTTGGCCACCCTGTACGCGTGACGCTTTTATAACGTTTTTTAATTTTTTCGACGCTAAGGGACGATTTCTTCACAGGTTTTCACGTTTATGACGCTAATATGATTTTTTCACGTTTCTCACGCTTGTTCAAGCTTTTTCAACGTTTTCAACCTTAGCCTTAGGAGATAGGGATTCGGTCTGAGATGAACATGGGTGTACCATTGAACTAACCTTCCGGATCCAGCAACCTGTTGACCCCGTACTCCCTCTCGACTATGTAAAAATTGTGCTCCATACGCTATCAGGGCCTCTGCTGCGTGGCTACCTAGTTTTTCACATTCCTAACGCCAGCCTGACACTTTTATCACGTTTTTTTCATGTTTATGACGGTAGAGTGACGATTTTCTTACGGTTTCTCACGTTTTATTGAAAAGCAACAGTCGTTGATTCTATGGAGATATGCTCTCAGAAGGGTGAACTGAAGTTATCTCTCATATTCGTAAATTATAATGAATAATTTATGCCTTAATTTAAAAAACATCACACTAATCGAAGTGTATTTCAGGATATACCAGGAAAAAAACAAACTATCCCAGATGTCTATGAATCTCAGAGCCTATATTTGCAAGAACCTATTAATCGTGTGGACGACACTTCACTTTGGGACTCTACATCTTTGAATGCTATTCCAGGCAGATCGATGAAATATGGAGTTTTAAGATAAGTTTTCAAAACATCAAATTTGTCATTCCTCAAATACCGATCATAGTGCAATTCTTTTCCATTCTTCTTCGAATACTTCTTCGTGGAAAAACGACTTTTATCGGTTTCATTCAATCAAGCAGTCGAAAAACTAGTCGACATACATGTATGTGAGTGTATAGAATTACGTCAGGTACCCTTACGAGGGGAGAGTATCTACAAAGGAGGGTATCGCCTTTAAGAGTTAGGTATGAACAGTGGTTTTATACCAGTTCTTTGCCAAATTATCATGCATTATCAAAAAGCAATAGTCGTTGTTTCAATGGAGATGTTCTCTCAGAAGGGTGGACCGATGTTATCTTCCATAATTGTAAATTATAATGAAAAAAGAAGCGCTTTTTTCACGTTTTCAATCTTAGCGTAGTGGAGATATGGGTTGGTAAGTCGGTCTGAGACAAACATGGGTGCACCATTGAACTTACCTTCTGGATCCAGCAATCTGGTAACTCCGTACTCCCTCTCGGCTATGTAGAAGGCATGCTCCATGCGCTCTCTAGGCCTCTGCTGCCTGGCCTGTCTGAAATCGACCAGGTCTGGCCTGTTCCTGTGTATGATCGAGCTGAAAGCGAGTCCGTCGCGCCACGATTTGCTGAAGTCCTGCACTTTGACCCCGGGATAGCGATTGGTGGTGCGCTGCGCCCACCTGAGGAGGTAGTCCTTGGCCGAAACGTTGGGTTCCTGTCCGACCACGATGTCCGATATCTGGAAAGAAAAACGGATCGGTTAGTGGACGAGAAAAATTAAGTTGGAAATCATCAAGTTGGCTGCCGTCAACAACCCTCAGAAGCTCACGAAGGGCTAGTGCGATAGGGGATCTATAGTTTATGCATGTGAAGTCCAAACCACTGTGGCATTAGGGCTGGTTCTGTATAATGACAAGCGATAGGAACTGCCTAGATAGTCATTTATCAACATCAAGGAATTCATCAACTCTTGTCTTGTATACTCCTTCAGCAGTTTTGCTAGGGATTGCAATCCGGACTCATTTTCGGACCGGATTTCCATCAATCCGGCCGGATTGATCTAACCAAGATAACTTGAACTTTCCTTTTTTATTCCAACATGGACCATTAATGGAGTGTAAAAAATAAAGATTCGTATACGAAATCAACTTTATTCTGACTAAAAAACAAATTAAAACACAAATCAAAAAACAAAACAAATAAAATCACAAATCAAAAAACAAAACAAATAAATTCTCGAATCAAAATAATAAAACAATCACCATTCTTTATAATATTCTAACTCTCTTTGGTTTGGAAGAACGATCTCAAGAAACAAATTGTGTTCATTGTTTCATCTGCCAGTCTACTTCTAATAAAGCTACAACTGTAGCCTGCGGCCGAGAAGGCTCTCTCAGCTTCTACACTCCTTCACTTTCAAATGCAGTCATTTTCTTCTTTAGTATTTTATCAAAATCTATTTTTTTCTAAGTCTGTATGGTATAAGACGCTACTTCTTGCTGGATCTGTGACTGTAATTCTTCATGTAATGTCAATTCATTCTGTGATTGTGAATCTAAGTTCTTCTCTATTTCTTCCACGAGTTCCACGCTTAAGTATCAACTCATACAACAGCGCGGTTATTTTGCCAAAATATAGAATCACCAGATCCGGTCACCGGATCCGGTAAGTGTATATTGATACCGGAACCGCCGGATTACCGGATCCGGTTTTCCGGATTGCAATCCCTATTTATTGCCGAAGAGCTAAGTTACGCTCAAATTACTTCAAGATACTTGTGTTGTAAAGAGTGATTCTCTTTCATTCGATCTAAAAAATGAATTATGGTATAATATACAGGGTGATCTATTTGAAAATAAGGAGTTTAGGCGATTTAAAAATAGCGAAATTCGGTCCTCATTTCAAAACACCCTGTATATTTTGAGTGAACCCAAATAATGTCTGAGTTTCTACACATACTTCGAGTATCTGTATACTCAGTTCTGCTCATGAATCTTCAAAAATATAGCTTCCTTGAATACTTTTCAACATTCATGTTTTCTCGTGTTTGATTAAAATGTTAATAATCTGACAACGTCGCATCTGATCCTCAAGTACAAAATAGGTTTGTGAAGCCCACATGAAACTGATTCAAAGAATCAAATAATATACAGGGTGTACCATTTTGAGAAATGATCGTTTTTTCCGCCCGGATACATGGTGCACCCTGTATACTCGAAAATAATTTTGAAGAGTAACTTATGGAGTATCGATATATATCGATATATCGATATGTGTCGGTATATCGATATATCGATATATCGATATGTATCGTTATATCGATATATCGATATTTATCGATATTTATCGATATTTATCGATATTTATCGATATTTATCGATATATATCGATATGTATCGATATGTCGATATATATCTCGATACACATCGATATGTATCGATATATCGATATGTATGTAATATATCTATATGTTTCGATTTATCTTGTTGTTGAACTGTATTAAAATTTTCACAATGCAGAATATCCTAAATTTTTCACCAGATATTTGATATTCTGAGATTGTACAAATTCACACACAATAATAATACCAATGGTTTGTTCGTTGTATATCGTTATGTATCGATATTTATCGATATTTATCGATATATATCGATATAAATCGATATATATATTTAACCATATGTATCGATATATCAATATATATCGATACATATCGATATGTATCGATATATATCGATATGTATCGATATGTATCGATATATATCGATATGTATCGATAATTATCGATATATCAATATATATCGATATATCGATATTTTTGTGCAGCCCTACTTTATACCGCCTTTTACTCCGAAATAATCTATTTCTATTCGCGACGACTGTCGTGGACGACAATATTATAAACATTTCAATCATCATTATACTTACTCTGTATCAATTTAGTTTTATGTTGTAAGATTTTATGTATATCAAGTCCTATTCTATGTTGAAACTTTTAACTGAATGTTTTTATATATTTAACCTTTACCTGCTTTACTGATATTTTATCATTGTTTGATTTCAATTTTAAGTAGTTTATTTACATATGCGAATCCTTTTTCCATAATTTATTGCTATACCTATACTAATGTTAACTCCATATCATATTTTATTTTTTATTTTATTTTTTTCACCACACACAAGCAACATTTGATGCTTCTGTGGTTTCCACCACGTTTACTCAGCACATGTATTACTCATAGTTTTTTTTGTGATCTGAATATGAATAAACCTTATTATTATTATTATTATTATTATCATCATAATTTTATCATCTATCATTTTTGATACCAGAAAGACCGTAAAAAGTTTCAAAGAATTTGGAAAAATTTTGAGGTCAAAGTCTATTTGTGACATTTATGTTCATCTCAAATGTCATTTCAGGCACATGCGCATCTCCACTGTCCCGATAAAATAAAATGAAATAAAAGATGAAGTTGACCTACTTTTATTTTACTCCTTATTTATTATTCAACCTTACTTCTTGTATAAACGTCTTTATGCACTAGCGGGCCGTAAAGTGCACTTTACCGCCCGGTTTTGCGGGCGTTAAGTCGCACTTTATCGCCCGCGGGCTCATTATGGCCCACGGGCCGTAAAGTGCACTTTACCGCCTGGTGTTCTCAGTCACCTTATATCCACATATCAATTTATAAAAAACCTATGATCATATTCCTAGATTCTTATATATCCAGCGGTATATCATAAACTTCTTCTTCATCCGATTCCATAGTCTCGCTATTATTATTATCACTAATTTTACTTTTCAATCAAAGAATGACAATTCAGCTCGTTTATTGGATGTATTGCTATAGACAACAACCATCAGATTGATTGACAACGTCAAAATGAGTTAGGTTTATATACTGGGTATGCATATTGTAAAATTCTGAAGAATGAATCTCTTCTACAGCTGAAAGAGTTTTACTATTACGATAATTGCAATATTCGTACGATAATTTTCATATGTAAATCATCCATGAATATTACGCTTCTCTTGATTACTGAATTTATACGTAACAAATTAAATTCTGGGGAATATTAGTTTATCGAAATCTATAGTCATTACTTATGAGTCAGAAAATAAACCACTAGTGCATAAAATTTTGTATGTATCTCGTGCGTGAAATGCGTTTATGGCCTTCAGCGTGTAATGGCCCTCGGCTAGCGCCATCGGGCCATTATTCACGCCACAGGCCATAAACGCCTACTTTACGCCCTTGATACATAAATAACTATTATGGCAACACGTATGTTCAACTTTATTAAATTGTTTTATTTTATTTCTTTCATTATTTTAATTGCTGTATAAACCCGCTCTAAGTTTTCAAATTAAATTAAATCGATTCCTGAATTTTTAGTCAAACATTTTCTAAACGAGTCGATCGATTTTCAAAAACTAAAAAGCAATGTATAGGATAGTGAAAGCCCTTTTCAATGATCTATCACTTGACACCCATTCCTTTTTGAAAACATTCGGGAGCAGACACCCCTACTCAGGGGGTTAAAGGTTTTGCTGTGCTCTCTGCGTCAACAGTTGCCCCCGTGACAAACAAACTTTGCGGTACGTCTTCCATTGACCACCCAGTATATCATGAATGAACGCATCGAATTTCGGTTTCTTCAAACATTTGGCACATGCCTCGCGTGCCTTGTTGGTAAGATGGCCCTGTGCATGGACATATCTATAAAAATTACAAAAATTCTGTTTATGGTTATCGTTATCACAAGGTTATCACTTCGAAAGTGGGTAACATAAAAGAGAATTCATCTGGCCTGTTCCATTAAGTAATCGAACTTCTCTCAAACTTTCCGACATGATTCGTGTTTGTTTGTTCACCTTCATTTTCGTGGCGCATCGGCTGTCGACCATCAAGACCGAAGAATGTTATCCCACAGTTAAAAGAATATACAATAGTTATTCCTTCAATCACACCCTTGTATTTATAATCGGAGAAAACCCCCATTTTGATGTTCGGGGTTTCCCTATAACCAGGTGCTTGGACCAAAAGCAGTTCAGAACGGAAGTCATATCCATCCACGTCCTTGGGTTATCGCGGCTTTACAAGGGTTCGATGAGGAATTTTCCGAAGCTGAGGACGATCTATGTAGCCTCTAATCTGGAGGAGATCGATCCGCAAGCTTTCTTCAACGTGCCAAGGCTCGAAGAGATAATTATGAGATATAGTAAACTGAAGACTATACAAAAAGGTATACAGGACAGTGTTTCATTACTAATTGGAAATATTTCAACTATACAGGGTGTATATATCTATATATATATAAAAAGAAATACATTGAGAATTCGCATTCTGTATGTGATAAAAATACTCGTAAAAATATCAATTCCTTCTCGGTTTATTCAACAGGAAACAACTACTTTCCTGGCTATATGCCACGACGAACTTTCAATTAATCTAACCAGATGACAGGGATTGAATGTCAAGAGTAATTCTAAGATGTCAGTTTCGTTATAATTTTGGTTATATTATAGAGATATGAAATTTGTGTACATCATGAAGAAGGGCTGAAAGATAACTGGACTGGAGGAGGGTTTTAAATCCGAAATGAGTTGATTCGAATAAAGTCATATAACCTGTTTGTGAGAGATATAATTCCCATATCACTGATACAAATGATTTTTTTGGTTCCAAGCTTATGAAGATCAGAGTTTATCCAAGTATAATGTATAATACTTCTCCTATACATTCCAATTTTCATTTCAATACTGAACCTATGTGGTAAGGTAAGTTATATTTTTATATCATAATACATCATATTATTTATCAGATTTGAGAAATTGTCAATTCTAAACTTCAAAGGATTTTTATTTTCCATGCTCCCCCTTTGGATGTTCAACAGATTTGATTCAATGTACGATGTGGCAAATATCCAGGAAAGTATTTGTTTTCTGTTGAATATTCAGAACGATGTTATGTGCATGTACATATTTTTATCAGAAGGAGAATGCAAATTTTCAACTTGAAAGATTACGTTTTCAAATTCTCATCGTGTGTGTTCAATAGATCTCAGTTATTGTATGAAGTAGGTTTGTGAAATTTGGAGCGTCGATATAATGACATAAGAGCTAGAATTTTAGCATATTGACATGTCGGAGTTGACTTCCGGTCTGACCGGAAGTAACATCAACTTTCTTATTTCAAATGGAAACCCTATTTTTTTTTTCGCTTTATTCAGCGTTCAATTCCCTTTCTAATTACATATCACAAGTTGGTATCTAACCAGAAACTAGATCAGAAAAAAAATATTATTGAAATTCACCGAGTAGGCCGTGGAGGCAAAATGAAAGCCAAAAATTGAAAAGTTGGCTATGGAAACCATACGTCACTTGATAACAGTTGCTACTACTGTGATATTTTATTTTCATTCGTCGGCGTTATGAAAAGCCGCCAAAAAAAATATTGGAAAAATTGGGGAAAAAACAATACTCTGTAGGTCCATAACTTGAATAGGAACATACAACTTTTTCTTGCCTGTACTATTCAGCATAACCATTCCTTTCTAATGATATAATAGAAAGTCATTTTTTGGCTTTCATTTTGCTTCCACGGCCTACTCGGTGAATTTCAATAATAATTTTTTTCTGATCTAGTTTCTGGTTGGATACCAACTTGTGATATGTCATTAGAAAGGGAATTGAATGCTGAATAAAGCGAAAAGAAAAAAAAATGGTTTCCATTTGAAATAAGAAAGTTGATGTTACTTCCGGTCAGACCGGAAGTGAACTTCGACATGTCAATATGCTCAAATTATAGCTCTTATGTCATTATATCGACGCGCCAAATTTCACAAACCTACTTCATACAATAACTGAGATATTCCGTAGGCAATACTTCCGTAGCCACCCGGTATATCAATTGTTTCATGTTCATAATGTATCTGAGAATATTTATTTTCAATAATTTCTCCCAATCCAGGGGTTCAAACTGGAACGATGGAAACTTGTTATTTTTATAGACCTCCAATCGCTGATTCCTGACGTCCTGTATGATCAATATTAATTTGTCTCTCATAGTTGAATAGCCTTTCATAGCATTGTACGAAATTTGAAAAAATTCTGTCGTCGCTCACCTTTATGTGAAATATAAACAATGAAATTCCCGTAACGGTGCCACTGGTAGAGAAAATGAAAATTTGTGTACATCAAAAAATGCACCTTGATGCATAAAAGACGTGTACCAAATTTCATGAAGTTGTATTCTCTCAGTTATTATCAAGAAACCGAATATTTTTCAAAAAACTTCATCACCCTGTATCTCAAAAGTTAAGACTTTTAGGACATACGTTTATATGAAACTTTCTTCTTAAAATGGGTCAAAGAATCACCCCCTAAAATATTAGCATGTCTCTAAGATACACCCTGTATAGGTACTGATGATATGTATAAACAAAAAAGGACAATACTTCATCTGATTCAGATCGAATTTAATTTCTCATATACCTCTGTTATATACGGAAACGCAGAGGGGCGAAGTGCTATTTTTATTTTTCCTACTATTATATGACTTACTATCTCGTAATTACGTCTTACTAAGACGTAATTATGAGACAGAAGACAGAATTTCTCATTTACGACTTGCTATCTCGTAATTACGACATACTAAGACGTAATTACGAGATAAAAGACATCATTTTTCAATTACGACTTGCAATCTCGTAATTACGACTTGTTATCTCGTGATTACGACATACTGAGCTGTAATTACGAGAAAGAAGATATAATTTTTCAATTACGACTTGCTATGTCGTAATTACGACATACTAAGACGTAATTACGAAAAAGAAGACATAATTTCTCAATTACGACTTGCTATATCGTAATTACGACATACTAAGACGTAATTACGAGATAGAAAACATTATTTTTAAATTAAGCCTTATTGCTATCTCGTAATTACGACTTACTAAGACGTAATTCCAACTTACTAAGACGGAATTACGAGATAGAAAACATAATTTCGTCACAGAAGTTCAAAGTTGAAGTCTCATGGTTTTTCCCTAACACACAATTGACACCCTTTCTCAATGCGTCTTGATATAGTAAGAGGCACAACAATCTTTGTGCAACCACAGATGCAGTTTTCCAGGAATAACAAAGACATCCTTAAATGATTTTGAATGCATTTAGACGTATTGAAAAAAAGTGGGAGGGAAAATGGACATAAATTTGAACAATTCAATGAATAAGTTAGTGAATAATATCGAAATCCAATTGAAGAAGAGATATTCCTTCAATTGGAATTTTTTTTATATGAAAAATTCATAGCATACTATTAAAATTCATTGTTTCAGTGATTTTGGAGCATTTTCGAAAATTTAATATCCATACAATATATGAGCTAATAAAATACAGGGTGTTCAATTTAAAAAATCATAAGTTTGAGTCGTATCTCCAAAACGATACCCCGAAAAAAAATTGAGTGCGCCACTGGATTCTGCGTGAAACTACCTATGGAATGGGATTTCATGTTGACATTTTCGCTGTGAAACTTCGTAGAAATAGAGGGGGCTCAAAAACTATAAATTTTCAAAATCGCACTGTATCTCATAAACGGAAACAATTATGCAAAATCTAATTAGGCCATCTTGAGTTTCACAAAGAAGTGGCAAAGAACCACGAAACCCGCAAGGTTCTATCTTCAACAACAACCGAGATACCTGGCTGTCTCACCCAAAATGGTATGCAATGTATATACATCAGACTCAATCAGAATCCAGATGCTGACGGCACACTTAGATGGAAAATCCGAAATGAAATGAAAATCAATATTGAAGTTTAAAATGTTACTTATGTGGTATCATTAGAATCAGAAAATGATGCAGAATTCAAAAATGCAATGATATACAGTGATATAAGTGTTCCAAATCTATTATCACTTATACGTTGAAACCCGAAGTGGAAAATAGAACATATTTATGTCAAAATGTGACGTTAATCACGTTGATGGGTCATTCTAAATCTCAATCAATTATCTTGAAGACTAGAGAAGAAGGGAGTGTGCCATGATCCTGTCATAAAACAAAGAAAAAAAGGCCGTGCAAAGCTCAGACATCCAGGTACTTATAATTGATGGAAGGAAGGTACGCTCACACTTTACATGATGTAAAATTATTCAAGGACACATGTTTCGGACTCAGAGAAGTCGATCATCAGCTCAATTCTGAGGTCTTACAAAAACAGTGGAGGAATTAATAGATGATACCTTATCATCTTACACTCATGGAGGTGAAGAAATAAATTCCATGTGAGTAAGAAAACTAGCAAGCAGAGAACAAAGCTGGGGAGGCAAGCCATAAGATGGAAGCTTGGCGAGAAGTCCGTGGTGCTAGACTCGATGTAATGCCTAAGAGATACCAAGTGTCACTGCTAAGGTTTCACCATATTTTTCTAAGCTAGCAGGTCACCAGTTAAACTCTGATGACGGAAGCCATATTGCCTATCGTTGATAATACCTGAATGTTCCAGGTATTTCATGAGCTCGATGTCGCTAGCTTTCTCCATGATCTTTGAAATAATTGATAGCAGTGAGATCGGTCATGGAAGTGTCAATAATAATTACGAAACTCCTCCCATAATCGGAAATCAAGTAACAGAACATGCCAGTCGGTCATACTAAACTCATCATATAGACTGGTCGGTCTTGAAGAAGACAGTGAAGACACAAAGAAAATTGCAGTTTTTCTAAGCATTTGTGGGTCTGCAACATTTGAGAGAGCACATTCGTTGGCATTGCCCACAGAAGTTGAAGATTTAACCTCCAAGGATGTCATGGAAAAGCTCAATGCGCATTTTTATCCAAAGAAGTCTGAAATGGTTGGTCGTTTTCGTTTCCATAGAAGAGAACAAGGACCTGACGAGACTATTTCATCTTACATTGGTGAGCTACGTTAATTGGCAGAAGACTGTTATTTCACTGACATAAATGCTCAGAGATAGACTCGTTTGTGGCGTTAAAGATGAAACTTTGCAACGAAGACTACTAGATGAGTCCTGCCAAACATTTGGGAACGCAGAAAAAATTGCACTAGCTCATAAAGCAGCAGTTCGAAATGTTCTTGAATTGATAGAACCGGATACAAGTTATACGAATCAGGTGAAACGATATGCCAAACAAACCATTCCTCAGGGACCTGCAGGCAATAAAAAAATCTGTCACTACCGGCAAGTCTATTACAGTGGACCAGAATCGAACAGAATATAATCGTCTTTGAATGTAAAGATCTTTCTCCTTGGGATGATGATAAGTCTATGGTTATCGCTATCACGAGGTTATCACCATCAAAAATGGATTGTGAGCCAATCGACATCAAAAATAACCCATCTGAATGTAAAAATCTTTCTCCTTGGGATGATGATAAGTCTATGGTTATCGCTATCACGAGGTTATCACCATCAAAAGTGCATTGATGTAAGCCAATCGACATAAAAAATAACCCATCTGGCCTGTTTCACTCAGTAAACAAACTTCCGACATGATTCCAGTTTGCCTCTTCTCAATTTTGTTGTCGCAGCTGTCGACCATCAAGACCGAAGGATGTGATTCGTTCAACAGCACACTTGTAGGTGCATTGGGAGAACACTCCCATTTTTACAGGTATATAAAACTGACACAGCCGTTTTGGCACAATCAAATGAAAATCATCATCATCATTTAATGACTATTTTTTCTATTTTGCGTCTTTAATGAAGTCATTATGACACCCAAATGCGTATGGTAACAGCTTCTGACACGATGAATTTATTGTTTCAAAGTTGGTAATGGCAACGTCAACGTCAAACTTGTCAGACCAGGGCCTTCTCTATCTCACCGGGCCGTAGTCTATCCCTTCTACCTCGATGCTGACGTCACACTAGTAGGTTGAGATTTCACATCATTTCATATCGGTGCGTTCGTAATTGAAAGGTTATAGCTCATTTACTTCAAAAATTAGAAGTACACTCGATCGAGACGAATTGATCCCTGATGAACTACCCAACTTTCGGTAAAAAAATAAATTGATTAGGATGAGCCAGTACCGATTCATGATGTTGTAAAGAAATTCAATTTTAATGAAAATCAGGACGTTGTACTATTTTTTGCCAATTTGGAATCGGTTTAAATTGAAACTGAGTATGTCAAACTAGGATAATGCATCAATTAAATAGTGAGAAAATTATTGAGCTAACTACAATGAGTCCGAAATAAATTAGAAATAAAGAACGCGTAAAAATTTGTCTAGTATCTTACCTACCTACCTAATTTCCATGTATTAACGATTTCGCGGTAATTCCCTATTGTTATACAGTGTGTCCCACTTACCATGCTCACCATGGGTATCTTTTTAACGGGGAGAGATACGAGGTCGGTTAAATGACACCAAATGTGGAGTTTGTCAAGGCCAACTATAATGTGAAAAAATATTTTGATAAAATCTATTCGTTTTTGTTTTATATGCAAAAATTAGATTTTGATCATTATCATGTCTCCGCCGTAACTTCTTTATTTATAAAAATATTCAAATAGGAATTTCACATTCTCATGGCAGTTTTTCAAAGTGATTTCGAAAAAAATATGAAAATTATACCAACTCTTCTAGAATTAGAGATATCAGCACCAACTTTAGTTTTTCAAATGTAGGTCATAGCTCACTATGACTTAGTTACAAATAACTTTTTTTTCTCTTAAAGATGATATGTCGCAGTAATAGTTTTGTGTTGATAACAACGGAGTTATCGTCATTTATACAAAAACAAAAAATTATTTGGAAGCCGCCATCTTGAATTTATGAATTTTAACAAAAAAATCATGATCTCCGACCTCAAAAACCCCCACTTATCAATTTTGAATGGAATCGGACCAAATCTTGTCCGCCATCTTGGAGCAGCCATTTTTTTTAATTTCAACAAAAATTCCATAACTCCGATTAACTTGAAATTTGGCAGGTGTTCATACTTTCGGTGACAAAACATTATGGAGTTGAAGTGCAACATTAACCCCTAGGAACTGAAAGTGTTGCCTAGCAACATACCTATTTTTGTGTCAGTAATGGGAACGTCAACTTCAAGGGCTAATTTCGGAATTAAAATGGACTATTTTTGAGTCGGTTGCAGAAAAAAACTGTCAATAAAGTCATTGAATACTAGATCATTTTTATTTGATTGTGCCAAAACGGCTGTGTCAGCTGTATATACCTCATTTTCACAGAGGGTACGTAGTGATCGGCTGCCTGGAACCCGAAGAGTTCGATGGTACGGAGATCATAGAGGCGAAAATCAATTTGGGAATATTGCGGCTGGGCAAGGAATCGATAAGGAATCTGCCGAAGCTGATGAAGATCCAGATATCTGCCAGGTATCTGGAGAAGGTCGAGCCCAAAGCCTTCAAGAATCTGCCAGGGCTCAAGGAGTTATATATTACGAACACCAAACTCGAGGATATACAAAGAGGTATGATTGTGCCCACGGAGAAAAACAACTACTCTCCTGGCTAATGCCACGCCGAACCTTGAATCACATTCTTCCGAAATCTATGCATTGATTCGTATAAACGAATAGATAGATAGATAGATTAGAAAGATTCGTTGATTGTGTTTAGAAAAATACATTTTCATCACAAGGGTTCGAATTATATGCGATCATGATTATGCAGTAACAGTGACTGATCTGAGTTGAATGAATAAAGTGAAGAGAAAAAGAAAATGAAGCTAGAAAAAAAAACAACAAAAAAAACATTTTTTCATAGTAATATAAATTCCCATATGTACATACCTACATAATATATAAGTTTATTTATACCTACCTAACGCCTAATACCCGAGAGAGTATCAAAAACAATCCCTAATAGCATAAAATTCATTAATTTATAATGAATGCTCGTAACTTCATAATATTCATCAGAGACTGCACAAGCTTTGTTAGATATACAATGTTATGGGTGTTGAGTAGAAGTACTAGATCATCAATACTAATGCAAGTGTTTCTTTCCTCAATTTAACCCGTCGAGTTGAGGCTTCGCACCCCTTCGTGGTCACCTGCAGAACATCTCTTTCCAAAGACTCGTTCTTTCACGAACAGCGAGACTCTGGAACACATTGCCAAGGGAGGTGTTCCCCGAGGCATATAACCTCCAGAAATTTAAGAAGAACACCAATTCCTACCTTATTTTCCTTGCTTCTCAAGATGTTCTCTGAACATTACAGGATATCCCTTTTCGTGGGAACCAGAACATGGAAAAAAAGATAGATTTCCATTCACCCAAGATAACGCAACGACACCTACAGACCGGTTTCGGACTTTTGGGCCTCGTCAGTGCAGGGTATTCTCCAGCTAGCAGTCCGAAGACCGCCATCTAAGCGTAACCTGACCCAACAACATCCAATCAGCCCGAAACCGGTCGGTAGGTGTCGTTGCGTTAACCTGGTTGAATAAAAATCTATCGGCATTAAGAAGGGAAACACTTGCGTTAGTATTCATTTATACGAATCAATGCATAGATTTCGGGAGGATGAAATTCAATGTTCTGCACTCCTTACTTACTAAAAAACTAGAAGAGTATGGTATCAGGGGAGTAACTCTCTCACTCTTTTCATCTTATTTATCAAATAGACAAATTCGAGTTGCATTGAATTCAAATAGTGTATCCGATTTCGAGATAATGGAATATGGGGTTCCACAAGGTTCAGTGCTGGACCCACTATTATTTATCATATATATAAATGACTTTTCCTCATATATTTCCCATATGGATGTGTCGCTTTCGCGGATGACAAAACTCTCACAACCTAGTGTAAAAATAGGTCAGAACTAATAAACAATATAAAAATAGCAGAAGAAAAATCCGAAACCTGGTTCAGAGTAAACAACCTGGAACTAAACAAGAATAAAACACAACATATCATATTCACCTCTAATACTCAGGAAGCTAATGGCAATAGTGTGAAACTGCTTGGCATCACACTTATGATGGATGACAAACTGAATTGGTCAACTCACACGGAGCAGTTGTGTATAAAATCAAAATAGATATTTCTACTACGGAAATTAAGAACTATCATCAGTCCTCATGCCCTATTAGCGGCATATTATGCATTCTTTCATTCACGAATCTCCAATGGCGCAATACTCTGGGGAAATAGTGGGCACGCCAAGGATGTATTTATATTACAAAAAAAGGCAATAAGAATCAGAGCAGGTCTAGGCTATGCTGACTCTTGCAGACCTCATTTTCTAACTCTAAGAGTCATGACGGTACCCTCGATTTATATTATTCAGTCAATCCTTGAGATTCCACAAGAATAATAATAATTATGACATACATGCCGACTTCCATGATTACAATAGTAGAGGCGACCAATTGATAAGACCTGTTAGATTCAGACTGCAAAAATCCAACAAAAATGCTGTTGATGTGAATTCATATAATGTTCTACCTTCCGATGTAAAGGATTTGGACTTCAACAGTTTCAAAAAACACATGCGATCTTATCTAATCTCGAATATATTCTACACAATAGAGGAATACATAGCTGCCCTATACTGCCTAGAAATGAATGATGCTGTTAGTTGATAGCTAACTTGTAATTTTAATTCTTTTTTTTTTATATATATTTTTTTACCTTTTTACATGTTAGTTCCCATGGTAAATTAATGTGATTGTGCTGAGTTGTTTACTCTCTGTTTTTACTCCAGTCTATCTATTTACTCAGTAGTTGTCTCTTTTTATAGCCAATAGTTTAGAATTAATATCTTATTTATACAATGATCTATCTGTGTGGCATTAGCCAGGAAAGTAGTTGTTTTTCTCCCGTGATCTACCATTGTTGTGGAAATTTCCATCGGATGAATTTTCCATCAAGTTAATTTCACACTGATTAGGATTATGCTTCTGCAAACTTCGATGACAATAATTGAAATGATCCAAATCATTTCTATTCTCGCTAAAAAGTCAGTTGTCGATCACCAATGTAGCATTTCGAGCACTAGATTCAAAAATAACTATTACTTATTGAGGTTATTTTTGTCAGTTTTCGAAAAATATAGATATTTTTTTTCAGTAGCAGCTGTAGAACGCCAGACGACAATGCTGCGATCTGCTGCGTTAGAATTACAAGAGAAAATCTACCTATATTTTTCGATTTTGAAGAGGGTGAAATACTTCAATACGTTACGTTCTTGTTACAGATGTTTTCAACATAATCCCCAGCATAACAACACTGCTTTTGAACGGAAACAAGATCGACTTCATCGCGAGTGGATCCTTCTCCAATCTAGAGAAGCTAGATACAATCAATTTGAGCGACAATTCGCTCATGGTTTGGAATGCAGAATGGTTCGAGAACTGCAAAGCTCTACGAATTATGGACTTCAGCAACAACAAAATTCCAAATATCCCAAGAAGAGCATTCGCAGAGCTGCCAAGACTCAAGAATATCTCGTTTGAAAATAACGAGATCACCACTATCCAAACAGATTCCTTCCGAAACTTAGAGAACCTTACGTCTTTGAACCTGGCCCACAACAGACTTACTATCATCGACGAAAAAGCTTTCCCAAATAGTATTTATATACATACTCTAAGGATACACAGCAATTATCTGAACTACCTTCCGAACCAGCTGCTGAGGAAGCTATCCGTCAGGGAGATCTTCCTGGACTACAATCCCTGGAAGTGTTCGTGTCTGGATGTGTTGAACTACTGGATGTTCTTCACCAATGCCAGACCGCAGATGGTGCCCGGATGCAAATCACCATTCGCTCCAATTTGCGCCGTTTCGCGACGTTATACAAAAACATGTAGAGAGAGTGTCGAGGAAGATTTGACTCTAAGATATATCGGGTTGTTGAACAGTTTGCCCCAACCGTTGGGGAAACGTTGTGCCAGACTGGATTAGGAGATAAAAGTAGTGTATATTTATGTGACGTAGTTATAGCTCAGTTAGGACCCAATTCGGGAAAAAATTCATGTAGTCAGTTTCTTTGTGGTTTTATGTTATTGGAGGTGCTAAATTCGAATCTGAATTTTGCAAACAAAATTTCCTGGAGCGTTTCAAGATATTAGCAAAAAACAGCGAAATTTTCACACTTTTCCTGTTTTTTCGCCCGTAACTCGGAAATCATACATTATATAATAATAATAATGATAATAATAATAATCGTCTTTATTCATGAAGAACATGATAGTACATTGACTTTAGAAAGGCGAAGTTTAGCGAACGCTATTCTTACACTTAAACCTTAATAAAGCATTAACATAGTGTGTCCATCCAGGAATGTCCTGGAATGACTACCAACAGACTATGAACAATAGTATCGTGAAATATTTAAATTATTCATCATATATATAATCACTGATAACTATACCTCTTACTAAATGTAAAGAGCTGTAAAAATACATCAAGTAATGAGAGAAAAAAAAATTGTCAAGAAAAAGATAACAAAAAGATAACCTTGTTCAACAACAAAAAGCACCATATAAATAGGTAAAAAACGGTTGAGATGTCAAGCATCTATGTATCGGTCTAGCAAGAGTTATTGTTGCAGTAATAGTTGGATTATAATCTTGTTTTTAACAGAACAAGATTTACAAACTCATCGAAGCCCGTACATAACGAGCGTACGTTCAAATGACCTATTTTCATGGTCACGAGATTGAATACCTAGGAATAATTCTCAATAATAATAGTGATACTCATATCTAAACTGAAATTTAAAAAAAAATACTGAACTACAGTACAAATGTTCCACACTCTGCCCTTCAATTGTTAAGTAACTTCAGGAATTACTTAAGTTATTGCTTATACTTCCTAGTCGGTTTCGCGAAGATGTTCTTGTAGCTTGTGCGACTTGGTTTTTCTTTGACTTTGTAGTTGGTTGCACTGATAGTGGTTTCGTAGAGGCTCGCATTATATCGAAAAGACCGCTCCATAAAAGTTGAAGGTTGAAGTAGATAACATTTCCTAGATAAAATTGTTCTTGCTCATGAATGTAGGACTGAAGGGTGCGGAGATAGAGCCAGTTGAGAATTGACCAAATTTGGGTAGGTACTTTTCAAAAGATAGCGTTTCTCGTCAGTTTTCGCAGATAATTCATATTTTACTTATTACTCAGAGGCATAGCATTATGCACATATTGAAAGAGCATCACATTTTCTACCGAGCTCATGTAAATTTCGTCATTATGAAAAAGATGAACGGGTCTGTTAGAGCGCTCGGACTTGGAGACGTGTTTTAGTCGTAGTTGCCACACTCATGCTCATCCTTTCAACTTATATGATTTGGATCATATGAACCTATATTCATTAAAGCTCTAAAACATATAAATAGGTCATTGTTTGGTTTTTATATTCTGTGGGGTGGAGGACAAAAAAAAATTCTGTACGCTGGAATTATATTTAGTTATAATTGCGATACAATAATTTCAATTGCTATAGGGTATTCATAGAACATTTTGATAAAAAACTGATAAACTGTTCAAACTTTCAAAATGACTTATGTAAAAACTTCAGAAACGATAAGATTTTCACAAATTTTTAAACAAACGACATGTTTCGCTAACACAGTAGCTTCGTCAGGTGATATACTGGTACAATGAACTAAACTAACGTTGGCTTGCTCAACTTTTATATATCTTACTTTCCCAACCTGAAGGATTAGTTACCTGTGGACGTACGATAAACCTCCATTTTCGGAAATTAGGCACAATATCTACATTAGATTACGGTATACCGGATTAACTTGAAAGAGTTGATATCAAATACATACATATTATTACTTACTAAGAAAACAAATTCAACAGTGGTGAACTATTAAGGTCTAATTGATCATTAAGTAAAATGTCAAAATTTGTGAGTTTGTTGATTTCTAATGATTCAAAATGATTGAGTTTCAGTCCTTTATTTTCTACGTGCAGAATATATAGTTGGCGTATGTTGAATTTGTTTTCTTTTTCATAAAATTCATGTTATGTTCATGAATGCGCTGATTAAACGTACGACCTGTCTGTCTGTCTGTCCTAAGACAGGTCGTACGTTTAATCAGCGCATTCATGAACATAAGATGAATTTTATGAAAAAGAAAACAAATTCAACATACGCCAACCATACATTAGAAGAAAATCGGAAGAAAACCACAGTTTTGATGATAATTTCGAAATTCTGCACGTAGAAAATAAAGGACTGAAACTCAATCTTTTTGAATCATTAGAAATCAACAAACTCAAATATTTTGACATTTTACTTAATGATCAATTAGACCTTAATAGGTCACCACTGTTGAATTTGTTTTCTTAGTAATAGGCCAGTCATTGGGGATTTTTACCTGGAAAAAAGTCCGGAAGTATTGAAACTTTGTAGGATCATAGTTTTGGGTGTCCAGAACTAAAATTCACAAAATGCACATTCCGGGACATGCCGCCGGCGCCGCCATCTTACAAAGATGGCGCTCAAAAACGGTTTTTTGAAAATATCTCCAAAACGGTGCGTTTTCAGAAAAAATATGAAGACATAAAAATTTAAGATGAAGAAATCTCCTACAAGGAATGTCCTCAGTATATTTTTGCTGAAGTGAGCTGATTGAATGACATCATATTCTGTTAATTTCAATAAACTGCCCCTAACTATCTCCAAATATGCGTATAAATTTATCTCTTATAATGAAACGGATCTGATTGGAAGCGCCTTGTACCTACGGTCTCGCAATTTTTTCTTGTCCGTTTTTCTCGTAAAATTACTGATTGGCAAATTGTGTTCGTTAGGAAAGGTAATTTAGTTGATGAAAAAGTTCTTGTGTTTTTACCGTTTATAAAAATATCTCATCTGAAATATATATTTTGTGTATTTACTCATATTGGGATGGAGTGGTAAAGACAAGAAAGCAAAATTTCCAATTTCTATGAATTTATGGGCGGTTTTACAGTACGAGAAGGTACCTATATCTACGGATACATAGTATAGGTACGAAATTTACTCATAACCATCCTGCACCCACATACTTCTGGAGCAGAGTCGCCAGATTCGTCGATAATGCAATTTTTATATCGCCCAAATAATCGCAAGTCACAAATGCAAAATTTTTGTCGCATAATTGATCTGAAAATCGTCCAATATAACGAGGAACAAATTGAATAGCCCGTTTTATTATAAAATATGAATTTATACGCATATATGGAGATAGTTAGGGGCAGTTTATAGAATTTAACAGAATATGTTGTCATTCAATCAGCTCTTGAGCCTAAACGGCTCTATTTATCAGAAATATGCTCGGAACGTTTCTTGTAGAAAATTTCTTCATCTTAAATTTTCAAGTCCTCATATTTTTTCTAAAAACGCACCGTTTTGGAGATATTTTCAAAAAACCGTTTTTGAGCGCCATCTTGGCAAGATGGCGGCGCCGGCGGCATGTCCCGGAATGTGCATTTTGTGAATTTTAGTTCTGGACACCCAAAACTATAATCCTACAAAGTTTCAAAACTTCCGGACTTTTTTCCAGGTAAGCTTTATTTTGGATCCCCAATGACTGAACTATAAGTAATAATATGTATTTGATATCAACTCTTTCAAGTTAATCCGGTATACCGTAATTTAATGTAGATATTGTGCCTAATTTCCGAAAATGGAGGTTTATCGTACCTGTCCACAGGTAACTAATCCTTCAGGTTGGGAAAGTAAGATATATAAAAGTTAAGCAAGCCAACGGTAGTTTAGTTCATTCTACCAGTATATCACCTGACGAAGCTACTGTGTTAGCGAAACATGTCGTGTGTTTAAAAATTTGTGGAAATCTTATCGTTTGTGGAGTTTTTATACATTTATCATGGATTTCCATCAAGTAACGGCCGAGTCAATCAAAAAAAAATACTTATTTTGTGATAAATAAGTATTAGAATCGATTCTCGCTCATGTGGGTTCCAAGGCGTCAAGGGAATGAGGCAGCTGATCGCCTAGCAAAAAAGTGCACAGCTCACATTTTACCTTTCTGTGAGACAAGCGAATGCCACCTTATCACAGCGCTCAGACAATGAGAATGAAGTGAAAAATCCTACTACTGTTGAGCCACTCCAAGTGAACGAGAAGGAGAGAGTTCTTTGACAATTCGTAAGCTAGTGAGTCTCAGCAAACAAGAGCCAAAGTACAACTCTTCTAACTATATTTTCTTCAAATGTCTGACATTTCTGATATTCGATGTTGGGAAACTTGATTTTCCTACTCCGTTAACGAATAACAAGAGGCAGGTAAGAAAATAGTAGATTGTTTTATTAGGATCAAAAGTGACACTTTGTTTGACAAGCGAATTTTGCATTTGCGAGGCGGAGCGTTTAGCGAAGCCGAGCGAAAGCAAAATTTGCGAGTCGAACAAAGTCACTTTTGATCCGAATGAAACATGCTATTTTTTCTGCAACCGAAACAATGAACACAAATAAAGATGTGAAGTAACCACCGATGCCGTGCCATATGTATGCAATGCAACAAATATTGACAAATAATCCATGTGGTGAGAATATTCTACCTGCATTAACAGCAGGTTAGGTTTTCTAAGATGTTCGAATTGTAGTTTCAATATAAATACAACCACAGAGTGACATATTTGTGTATGGACCAGGTGCTCTAATGGCAAATACCGCGCCAGTGCCAGCTATAGGAACAAGACGTGGAAAATGTTAGGTTAGTGAGCATATCAACAATGATAATGATGATTATTTTTTCCTCTCCTTACTATACTACACTGTGTTTGACTTGATAATCAAATGAAGCTAAACGATATGGTTGTTTGAGACAAAAAAAAACTATTGCTCGCCGTGATTATTCAAAAACAAGTTATCCATCACGAGAATAACGAATGAAATACAGATCAAGCAAGTATTTGAATCTTGAAGGCTTCCCTGATCGAAACAAAAATATTTAACTGAGATGTTTTTAATTCCAATACTAAACTATAATAATTTATTATATTTATATCTCAAGCGTGGGGTGTGAAATGCCAAATCTGCTGAAATCGGAAACAAATCATCAGGTATGCGTCTCAACCCAAATAAGCAACCGTCACAATGTTGTTTATTCTTGTTGACGTCCAGTACATTCTTTTTAGTTCCTAGGAGCTAAAGTTCAACTTTAGCTCCTAGGAACTAAAATTCAACTTTAGCT